GGGTTTAGGGTTTAGGGTTTTGGGTTTTGGGTTTTGGGTTTTAGGGTTAGGGTCTTTAGGGTTTAGGCTTTGGGCCTTAGGGGTTGGGGTGTTTGGGGTTTAGGCCTTGAGGGTCTTCAGGAGTTTTGGGCTTAGGGTGTGTGGGTTTTGGGTTTAGGGGTGCTTAGGGTTTTGACAAGGGTTTAGGGTGTTTGGGGTTTCTGGGGTTCAGGCCTTTGGGCGGTATTTTAAGGGCTTTTTGTTGGCTTGTAGGGTTTAGGGTCTTTAGGGTTCGAATTTAGGCTCTGCAGGGTTTAGGGTATCCTGACGTGCAACAACACACATGAAGAAACTATTGCCGTCAGCTGCAAACCCTACAAACGCTATAAACCCTATACACCCTATCAGCCCTATAAACCCTATGATAAACCCTATAAACCCTAAACCCTAAACCCCATACACCCCAAACCCTAAGCAGTTTTGGGCTCTCTGACGCAGCTGGGGGGGGGGGGGGGGAGGCTCGAAGCTTGCAACCCAATTGCCACGGCAGTTGCGGTAACCCTAGGTGCCCTGATAGGATTATCACGCCCCAAAGCCTGAACACCCCTACAATCCCAAAACCCCAAACGCCGAAACCCGAAACCGCGAAACCCCGAAACCCTGAAACCCTAAACCCCCCGACTGAACCTCCCAAACCCCCTAAACCTCCTGAACCCTAAACCTTACAGCACCTAGTTGCTGAGTTCATAATCCCCAAAAAGTGTACACTTTCCAGTTCTTGAGGGGCTGTTTTGTATCCCAAGAAGTGTAAGGTGTACTCATTCAGCTACTAAGAGCAGCTTCTGGAGCAGCCTCTGACTTTTCCGGATGCCCGGGACGGACTTGGGTTGAGGGTTTCAGGGCTTCAGGCTGCAGAGCTTGGGCTTTAGGGTTTAGGGTTTAGGGTTTAGGGTTTAGGGTTTAGGGTTTAGGGTTTAGGGTTTAGGGTTTAGGGTTTAGGGTTTAGGGTTTAGGGTTTAGGGTTTAGTGTTTAGTGTTTAGGGTTTAGGGTTTAGGGTTTAGGGTTTAGGGTTTAGGGTTTAGGGTCTTTCTGACCTGGGGCGCCTGGCTCCCTGGCGTTCTTGGTAGAGAGCATGCAGGAGCTGCTCTAGCCTGAGGAGAATCTTAGGGTTTAGGGATTAGGGTTTAGGGTTTTGGGTTTAGGGTTTCACAGTTCTAGGGTTCTAGGGTTCTGGGGTTCTAGGGTGTTAGGGCTTAGGGCTTCACAAAATAAGATCCTCTTGAGGCGCAATCATAAGGGAAGGCGCAAAATCTCCCAAGGTCCCCCCAGCAAAACTTGAGTTGCTCTAGCCCAGCCTGCCAGTTGCTGGGGCTTCAGGGATTGGGGTTCTGCCCTCCCAGTTTCCAGTTTGATTACTTGTGCTTTTGGGGGGATTTAGGAACCCTAAACCCCGCAAACCATAAACCCAGGCCCGAAACACCCCAAGCATTCCTATAGGCCCAACATACGCCTCAGAGCCTCGGCAGCATAGAACCAAGGGCCAAGCTTGCCCCTTGAATTTAGGCTTTAGGGGTTTGAGGCTGAGGGTTTGGGTTTTGGGGTTTCGGGGGGTGTTGGGGGGTTTTGGGGGGTTTTGGGGGGTTTGGGGGTTTTGGGGGGTTTGGGGTTTTAGGGGCTTGGGGGTTTAGGGGTTCGGGGCTCCTACATCCCTACAACCCCTCAACCCCATCAACCCCCCCCCCAACCCTAGACACGCCTTCTCGATGCGGCAAGGGTCTGGACTCAGAAAATCTCCAAGGAGGTACCCAAAGGCAATAGGCCGATGGAGAAACCGGCATCGGCCGCCGCCGAAAGACCCCACCGCTCCGGATTGGGGGGGGAGGGTTTAGGGTTTAGGGTTTACGGTTTACGGTTTAGGGTTTAGGGTTTAGGGTTTAGGGTTTAGGGTTTAGGGTTTCGGGTTTCGGGTTTTGGGTTTCGGGTTTCGGGTGTAGGTTTAGGGTTTAGGGTTTAGGTTTAGGGTTTGGGCCTCTCCATGCGTACTAGGAGTACTATATCCTTAACGGTCGGTTATATCTCTCCATGCGGGCATTAATATTAAAAGAGCGTCTTTTGCATTAATAAATTTCATGCGAAGTTAATTCGCTACATTTTAATATAATTCTTTAGCTTTCAAGAAGACCCCAAAATAGGTTTATAATACGCCCACTTCGTGCATGAAATTTATTATCTTGTGTTGCAGTTTCATAATGAATAAGAGAATGAAGAACGAAGACACAATAATATGCTAAAATTGTAATGCATTTGAATTATGAATGAAAGCGAGAAAGGCACGTGAATGAACAAAATGAGCTCTCTTTAAGGGGTCTTTTGGACATAATATCAATACAAATAATATGCTCTTTTCACCTTAACATTATTCAGTGCTAGGAGTACTAGATACATCCCGGCCGAGGCTATCTCTCCGTGCGTGCTAAGAGTACTAGATACATACCGGCCTAGACTATCTCTCCATGCGTGCTAGGAGTACTATGTACTTCCTGGCGGAGTATCTCTGACCACACTTGCCAGTAGTTCAATAAATTCCCGGCCAAATATATCTCTCCATGCGTGCTAGGAGTACTATGTACTTCCCGGCCGTCTGTATCTCTCCATGCGTGCTCGGAATACTAGATACATACCGGCCGAGACTATCTCTCCATGCGTGCTTGGAGTACTATGTACTTCCTGGCGGAGTATCTCTTTCCACACTTGCCAGTAGTTCAATAAATTCCCGGCCAAACATCTCTCCCCATGCGTGCTAGGAGTACTATATACTTCCCGGCCGAGTGTATCTGGCGTGCTCGGAGTAGTAGATACATACCGGTCGAGTCTATCTCTCCATGCGTGCTAGGAGTACTATGTACTTCCTGGCGGAGTATCTCTTTCCACACTTGCCAGGAGTACAATAAATTCGCGGCCAAATACATCTTTCCATGCGTGCTAGGATTACTATATACTTCCCGGCCGAGTGTATCTCTCCCCTGCGTGCTCAGAGTACTAGATACATCCCGGCCGAGTGTATCTTTCACTCGATACATCCCGGCCGAGTATATCTCTCCATGCGTGCTAGGACTAGTATCTACTTTCTGGCGGAGTATATCTCTCCATGCGTGCCAGGAGTACTATATACTTACCGTCGGAGTATTTAGTTCCTGGCGGAGTATAACGTGCTAGGAGTACTATATACTTTATATACTTCCCGATAAAATATACTGGCCGGTGGAGTAGCTCTATCCATGCGTTCTGGGAGTAGTTGTTTAGGTCCCGGCGGAGTAAATATTCAGTTCCCGGAAACGAAAAATCTCTCCATGCGAGCTAAAATGAGAAAACATATTTCCCGGCAGAGTATATCTCTCTATGTGTGCTAGGAGTAGTATACAGTCCCTGGTGAATAGTTCCCGGTGGAGTATATCTTTCCATGCATGCTAGGAGTACTATATATATATATACAACATATATATATATAGTGCTTTATTATTTATACTTTCCGGCGGAGTTTATCTCTCCAAGCGTGCTAGGAGTACTTTATACTTCCCGGCGGAGTATATCTCTCCATGCGTGCTAGGAGTACTGTATATTTCCCGGCCGAATACATCTCTCCAGGAGTAGTGATAGTCCCGGGCGGGGCAAATCTCTCCACACGTGCCAGGAGTACCACATTGTTCCCTGCGAAGTATATCTCTACATGCGCGCTAAGAAGTATATCTCTCCATGCGTGCTTGGAGTAGTTTATACTTCCCGGCAGAGTATATCTATCCATGCATATGTGTTGACTGGAGGTTGTGGCGCACTTTTGTCCTGTGGTAGGGTGGCCCGAGCTTGCCAGGAGACAGTTGCCAAGAAGGGGTGGCAGAAGGGCTGACATCAAACTCAGCCCGAAGTACGGAGCACCACTGAAAAGCCCACACTGCCAACAAACTGCTGCATTCCTGCCCCTGCTGCAAGCCTCGGTCTCTTTGGGGAAGGCTTCGTTCGGGTTTCGGGACTTTCGGGGCTCATATATGGAACCCAAACCTAGTCCCTAAACCTCAGCAAGCCTGGTGTGGAGTGCAGAACAGTGCACTGGTGGCTTGGCTTCCGACGACGGCCCTCATGCATCCGCAAACCGTGGCTGCAAACTGGGCTCTGCTTCTTCGGCATCGCTTTGTTCAGGGTGCTGTAGGGGCCTACATAATTCGAATAGGGTTTTTTGTGGCTCATTGTAGTAAACTTACAAAGGGACCTTCCGACCCCTATGGAGCTTCGGCCGTGTAGCAGGGGGATGTCCCAGAATAGGGCTTCCCTGACGTTTCCACCAAAACTAGTGCCAATCACTCGAACAAGCATGCCCCGCAATCGGCATCCCTGGCCGTCTGCAGCTGAGTGCATAGGACCTATAGATGCAGTCGCTGCAATCTCTCTAAGGCAGCCACGAGAGATGGCGCGCCAAAAAAGCGCCATGCTGTCCGAAGAAGACATGTTTCCTCTACAACCCTAAACCCTAAACCATAAACCCTGAGTGGTGCATCTTCCTCTACCCTTCTTCCAGACGTTTCACCCCCTCCAAATGCTTCTGCGAGTAGGTATAATGCGAAGATCTGCCTGCAAGTGGGATCCGAAGTTGATTTGAAGGAAACTTTCCTAAACCCTAAACCCGAAACCCGAAACCCTTGACTCGTTTCGGGGCTTTGGGCATGTAGGGCTTGGGACCTGGGATTCGGCGGCCCCCTTCTCGTGGACGGCCTCTAAAGTCTGGGACTTCCCTGTCCCGAGCGCACGGCCAGACATTGAACCCTTTAGCCGAAGCCTCCCTGAAATTTACGTGTTGGGGTTTAGGGTTGAGAGTTGAGGGCTTAGGGTGCAGGATTCGGGGTTGAGGGCCAGGGTTTAAGGTTGAGGGCTGTAGAGCCTACGGCTTCGGGATGTCGCGTTCGAAAGGGTCGGCCTAAACCCCCCTCAAAAAAGAAACACTGAACCCTGGGTTTTGGCCGGCGCTGGGCTACCAGTAGCGGTTCAGGCTCAGCTGCTCTCTCTCGGGAGCCGAGGCAAGGATGGATAAGAAGAGCTCCAGGGCACTGAAAACGGGAACCACCTGGAAGGCGGGGGCGTGACGGAGGCCCGCACTTGCAGGTTCATGTGCACTTATCAGTAGGGTGATAAGTAGAAGCACGATGGGTTATACTCCGATTTAGGGCACTGATAGCCTACTTCTAAGTGCCAAAGGCATCATAAAAGTTATGGTTCATACATATTGCAAGATCATGCATGATGTATTGAGAATATGAAATATCTTTCCACATTGTACACACACACACACAAAGAAAGCAAGCCCGGTTGGCAATGGCACGTTCCATACTTCAATGCCCAAATCGACAACAAGAAGAGCCTTTTTTGTGCTGGCCTGCTCTGCGCGATTGATGAACTTTGGCGCCTGGGGGGGTGATGCGTCTCTTGGGCCGAAACCCGAAACAGGTTTAGGGTTTAGGGTTTAGGGTTTGGAGTCTAGGGTCTAGGGTTTAGGGTCTAGGGTTTAGGGTTTAGGGTTTAGGGTTTAGGGTTTAGGGTTTAGGGTTTAGGGCTTAGGGTTTAGGATTTGGGGTTTAGGGTTTAGGGGTTTAGGGTTTCGGGTTTAGGGTACAGCACAAACATACACCCGGCACCCCAACCAGAGTCTATCGGCTGAAAGTGGGTGTGCAAAGCACTGGTCACACTTCACCCCGCTAGTCCTAGAGCGTAGGTTGTCAATCTGCGTTTTGGGTTTAGGGTTTAGGGTTTAGGGTTTTGGGTTTAGGGTTTAGGGTGGCAACGAATAATATGAAGAACGGCCAACTGCAACCCGGGCAATCTCGACGCGACACGAAGAGCGCCCACGGACCCCCCTTCCTTTCACTGCAGGCATCGCTTTTCGGGTTTGGGCTCTCGGAGCTTAGGGCTGAGGGATTCGGGCTTCGGGTTTAGTGGCTTAAGCTCAAAGCCCCTAAACCCTAAACCCTAAACCCTAAACCCTAAACCCTAAACCCTAAACCCTAAACCCTAAACCCTAAACCCGAAAAACCCTAAACCCTAAACCCGAAACCCTAAACCCTTAACCCTTAAGGGCTCAAACCTTCAGGGCTCCTTCTTTTCTTGTGAAGTCTTGGGGGGGGGGGGGGGTGCGGCTTCTGAGAGCCTCGATCATGAAACGTTCTGGGCCACCAGACCTGAGAGGCTTCCCGAAGATTGGGGTTTAGGGTGTAGGGTGTAGGGTTTAGGGCTTAGGGTTTAGGGTTTAGGGTTTGGGGTTTGAGGTTTAGGGTTTAGGGTTTAGGGTTTCGGGTAGGGTTTAGGGTTTAGGGTTTGGGGTTTAAGGTTTAGGGTTTAGGGTTTAGGGTCTAGGGTTTAGGGTTTAGAGTCCAGGGTTCTGGAATGGGGGGTGTAGGGTTGAGGGTTCACGTAAGGAGACCGCATCCCGTCATCTAGTCTTCGGCCATTCCCTCCTTTGGGGCTGCTGGGGTACCTACTACACCCCCAACCCTAAACCCTTATAAACCCGAAACCCTAAACCCTAACCCCCACCCCCCCAAGAAAAACAATAAACATAAAGTAGGAGAAGCGGAGGGAGACTTCGGGGCATGAACGTGGCGGATGGCCCCCTAATTCCCCTAATACCCCTAATACTCTTAAACCCTAATACCCCTAAACCCTAAACCCTAAGGCCCCCCAGCTGCCCCATTGGTAGCACAGCAACCACATTATGATAAGGATACCCTTTCCTTGGGGCTGGTTGCTTTGTAGGGAACCTATAGGACCAAGGGTAAAAGGGCACCATTGGGCTACCAAGTCATTCTCCCTCTCTCTCTCTCTCTCTCTCTTGGTCTCTTTCCGTCTCTGTCACGATATATCCGCCTATCCTCTAGCTATGCATCCGTCTAGCATCTGGCCAACAATCTTTGCTGGCGATGGCCAGCAGCGTTTACATGCCGAGGGTAAAGCCCGAAATTCTTGAGATTCGGCGCTCCGGGGGCTCGCACAACGGGCCCCAGGTCTGAGTCTAAAGCGCAACCCCTATATCCTGAACCCTGAACCCTGAACCCTGAACCCTGAACCCAAACCGCAACCCCCGCAACTCCCACGTGAGACAGTCTGGCTCTGCTCGTGCTGGGTTGGGGGTTCGGGTTCGAGTCTGCGCCGGGAGGCATGTCCGCATATCTTTCCCAGTCGAACTGTTCCCCCAGCGTATCCACATCTCCACCGATGATGAAGAGGTTGCGCGGATCCTGGCCGTTGTTTAGGGTTTAGGGTTCGGGGTTTAGGGCTTGGGGTTGGGGAGTTTAGGGTGTCTTGTAGGGTTCATGGAGGCTGTGCCGAATGATAGCCCCTTCTTGGGAACCACAAAGCAAAGGGGCCTAGGGTGCAACTCGCCCCAAAGCAGGGGGGGCTCGCGAGCGGAGTTTTTGGATGTAGGCACCCTCGGGTGCAGGAGGCACTGTTTGGACCCCCTAATACAGTACGGCACCCTTTGTATCAGAGAGCCTCACACCCCCCCCACCCCCCCGCCCGCCCCAACTTAGAGATGTACCCAAACGGGTTCTATCATCGGGGTTCTACCTTTTTGGGGACTCTTATCTGCTTTGGGAAGAGACCAAAGACTCGGGAACACCCTGTTTCCCTAAACCCCAAACCCTAAACCCTAAACCTCCTTCCGCAACAGCGCAGTCGGAGGCTTAGGGCTTGGGAGTTCCGTACCCGGAGATCTGCCAAGGTGCGGCAAGGTACGGCGAGAGAAGCGAGGCGTACTGCTCGGCCTGCACAGACCCCCTGATTCTTAGTAGGGAATGGAGGACTTCAGTATCCTACATAATCCCTCAAAGTATATATGTATATATATATATATATATGGGAGTATGGGGTACCTCATTCCCTCCTTCCCTACTAAGAACCAACAAGAAGAGAAGGTGCTGGGAAACTGGGCCACGAAGTAGGGATTTTTGGGGTTTTAACTGGGGTCACGGGGGATTGGGATTTTAGGGTTATCATTCTTGGATTTACTATCATTAGGACGACTCTTATTGTGTTTTACTGCTAGGACTATGGAGTTGCTATCACTAGACTTTTGCCAAACGACCGATTGCAAGCCTGGTAGGGTTTAGAGTTAGGGTTTAGCGTACGACGTGGTGTCAAGCAAAAGTCGCGAAAGCAGCGCGAGAAGAGGATACACCAACAGCCACTATGCTTCTTCTTGAAGTTAGGGGAGGGGGGCGGGGGGGGTTTGGGGTTTGGGGTTTGGGGTTTAGGGGGCTTAGAAGCAAGCCTCGCCTTTTCCGTCATCAACCCACCCACCAGGATAGGCACCAGCGTGAATTTCTGGTCCTGCACCAAGGGGGGGGGGGGGGTAGGGTTTAGGGTTTAGGGTTTAGGGTTTAGGGTTTAGGGTTTAGGGTTTAGGGTTTAGGGTTTAGAGTTTAGGGTTTAGGGTTTAGGGTTTAGGGTTTAAGGTTTGAGGTCTAAGGCGGTCTTAGGGGCCAGTGTGGTCTATAATGGGTTTCGGGTTTCGGGGTCATATGGGGAGCTCTCTTAATTAGGGTCCCTGTTTGGATCCCTACATAGTAGGGCACCTTATGTTTCGAAGGACCCCCCCAAAAGGGGCCACTTCGAGGCACTGCTCGTTTGGAGGGCCACGAATCCAAAAAGAGCTGAGGGAGCACGGGGTGGAGAGAATGAACCCTAAACCCTAAACCCTGAACCCTGAACCCTAAACCCTAAACCTTAAACCCTTCTCACGGGGAAGAAGAAGATAGGGCTGAGGGTGAAGAGTAGCGGCTTTCGGGGCTCAGGGTTTTTGGGGGTCTAGCCTTGGTGAGCTTACCGGCAACCTTCAACCCTCAACCCTCAACCCTCAACCCTCAACCCTCAACCCTAAACCCTAAACCCTAAACCCCCAAACCCAGCCTCGCCGACGCAGCTCTGCACAAAAGGCAGGAGTGCTTCGATGCAACGCTCGCGCTGGTCCTGCAGCTTTAGGACGTTCTGCGCTCATCGTCTGGGGTTTAGGGTTTAGGGTTTAGGGTTTAGGGTTTAGGGTTTAGGGTTTAGGGTTTAGGGTTTAGGGTTTAGGGTTTAGGGTTTAGGGTTTAGGGTTTAGGCTTAGGGTTTAGGGTTTAGGGTTTAGGGTTTAGGGTTTAGGGTTTAGGGTTTAGGGTTTAGGGTTTAGGGTTTAGGGTTTAGGGTTTAGGGTTTAGGGTTTAGGGTTTAGGGTTTAGGGTTTAGGGTTTAGGGTTTAGGGTTAGGGTCATGAGGGTCTATAACGGCTTCACAGTAGGCATGTATATTGCGGTTGGGGTGAAGGCGCAAAACCAAACTCCCAACCGGATAAACCAATCTAAGGTGGAGCTCTGCTCCCCGGATGTCCCCCTAAGCCCTAAACCCTAAACCCCAAGAATGAGACTTCTCTTGCCAGCAAAGGTGACCAGCTCTGCATAATCTGGTCCTCTTGTTTGGTGTCACGAAGGCTACTAAGGCCTTGTAGAAGGGCTATAAGTACCCCAAAAAAAGTTTGCAACCCATCATCATCCCACTTATCTGAGTTACCCCTACGTATAGCCCTACTTATGATTACAACCGCGAAGATTCCTTAAACCCTAAGCCCTAAACCCTAAACCCTAAACCCTAAACCCGAAACCCTAAACCCTGAACCCTGAACCCTAAACCCCAACCCCTAAACCCCAGAATGGAACTTCTGCGGCCAGTCCTGCTCAACAGTCACGACCTGAAATGCCTCGGACAGGAGCGAAGCTTTAGCAGCACCGCAAGAACTACCCACAGAATCCCCCCATATTTGGGTTTACTTAGTTGTCCAGTAAGCTGGGGAAGGCCAACCTTTGGGATTATAAGGGGATTATACTACCCAAAAAAAGGCTAAAGGTTACCTTCTCTACTACTAGGGTTTACGACAATAACACAATCAGGGAAGCTTAACATAGGCCCCCAAATCATAGGATTCCCTGATAACAAGGACCGCAAACAAAGTACCCCTGATATCGTAAACCCATCTACTAACTGCTTAACAACTCCGACAAACCTGAGAAATGTTCTTCCTGATAAGGGCAGTGTAGGGATTATTATCTTCTTTGCGGGGTTCTTAAGCAAATAGTAGCCATGGAATCCCCCATGTTTGGGTTTAGGGCTTACGCTTTAGGGTTTAGGGTTCAGGGTTTCCGGTTTAAGGTTTCAAGTACAAAACCTCTTCTGCAAGCTGCACGGCATTTTGCAGCAGAGAGGAGGGGTGCTGCTGGAGCAGGGAGGCAAAGAAACCGGGTTTAAGGTTCAGGGTTTTGGGTTTAGGGTTTAGGGTTTAAGGTTTAGGGTTTAGGGTTTAGGGTTTTTAGGGTTTAGGGTTTAGGGTTTAGGGTTTAGGGTTTAGGGTTTAGGGTTTAGGGTTTTAGGGTTTAGGGTTTAGGGTTTAGGGTTTAGGGTTTAGGGTTTAGGGTTTAGGGTTTAGGGTTTAGGGTTTAGGGTTTAGGGTTTAGGGCTAGAGTGACACAGAAAAGGAAGGAAGAGCTAGCAAAACGGTACGGCATCTGCCCATCTTTGGATGGTGCAGCAAGCCGCCTTGCATTTGCGGAGTTTAGGGGTTTAGGGTTTCGGGTTTAGGGTTTAGGGCTTAGGGCTTAGGGCTTAGGGTTTAGGGTTTAGGGTTTAGGGTTTAGGGTTCATTGCTTCCCAGCTTGCGTGTGTGTGTGTGTGTGTGTGCGTGGAGCATCTTTCCCGATGAGAAGCAAATGTCCAACATCTGTATGCAGGAAGTCCAATTCCAGAACCCTGAGTCCGGAAAACCTAAGCCGTAAGCCCAAAAACCCCGAACACCTAAATCCTGAGCCCTAAACCCCAAACCCTAAACCCTAAACCCGAAACCCTAAACCCTAAACCAACAGCAGGAGGGCCTTTGAGGTTCGGAACTGCTCCAACAATGGGATGTCCAAGGGCATGCTGCCATACCTCAGGCAAAGGTGGCAGATAGCAGGTCGTAAAGATTTAGGGCTTAGGGGAAGATTGCCCTAAACCCTAAACCCTAAACCCTAAACCCTAAACCCTAAACGCTAAGATTGTAGGGTAGCATTTGTGGAGCTGAGGATTAGGGCCAAGGCACCAGGCACAGCGCTGTTCCGGTATGCCGCAGCCATCGATGTAACCTAAGGACTTGGCGAAGAATGTCGGGCCTAAAAAAAAAACGAAGCCGAAGCGCACCCTTAGGGGCTTAGGGGCTGAGGAGGTTAGGAGTTGAGGGGTTCAGGGGTTTAGGGGTTTTTGGGGTGTAGGGGGCTTAGGGGTTCAGGGGTTTAGGAGCTTAGGGGTTTGGGGGCTTAGAGATTTAGGGATATGGGGGTTTAGGGGTTTAGAGGTTTAGGGGTTCAGGGGTTCATGGGTTTAGGGCTCGATCTGAGGGGGCCCACGCAATATCTCCCTTCGGGGCTTACTTGGAGGTTCAGGGTACCTAGTAACCCAATTATCATTGCACTTAGAACCCAAGTATAACACCATAAGGGCACTTCAAAAGCTTAGAAGTGGGATAGAACTACACTCACAATTGGTTACTAAGTACCCTGAACCTCCAAGTAGAGATTGCCACACCAACATCCCCTTGTAGCGTCTAGGATTTGCGACAACGTCATCCTTTATTTCTTAAAGCATCTGATTTAACGGCTTTGGGCTTGCCACTTCTCTCCTTTTAGGGCTTCCATCCAACATGTCCTGTCAGGGTCAGCTCACCTATCCACCCCCCCCCCCCCCGACACGCCCAAACTCCTTCCAGGTTCCCTGAATTCCGAAAGCTCCAGCGTCCCTTCACTCCCAACATCTCCCAAACCTAAACCCTAAACCCTCAACCCTAAACCCTCAACCCTAAATCCTAAACCCTCAACCCTAAAGGAGCGCGGGCCCAGGCACAATCCCAAACAGGTGCCAGCACGAAAAGCCGCTGAACCTGGTAGTGGGGACGAGGTGTGAGCACGTTGGCGCCAAAAAATGCAGTTTAAGTGTTCGCAAACCCTAAACCCTAAACCCTAAACCCTAAACCCTAACTAAGTGGTGACATGGCAAGAGCAAAACAACATCCAGCACCCCAAAGGCCGAAGCTTCAACACCCTGGTTCTTAGTAGGGAATGAGGGCCCTATAAAAAGGGTTTAGGGTTTAGGGTTTAGGGTTTAGGGTTTAGGGTTTAGGGTTTAGGGCATTTACAGGCCCCTCCTTCCCTCATTCCCTACTAAGAGCCAGCCAGTCAATCCGTGACCCGGCCTCCCCGAGCCCCGTCGGCGGGTCGGCGAGCTGCGCGAAGGGCTCGCTGAGGTTCGCATAGGCGCCTCGACGGCTCAGATTTAGGGTTTAGGGTTTAGGGTTTAGGGTTTAGGGCTTAGGGTTTAGGGTTTAGGGAGAGCACAGTGGGATGTCAGAACTTGGTCTACATCGCCTCGTTTCTGCAAAGCCCCCGCAACATGCCGAATCCCAGACACCAGAGAGCCTTGTGTTGGCACGACGATCGCTGCGACCTCAGCACCGGCCAAGGAACTTCTACCACTGCGGCTTTAGGGGTTAGGGTTTAGGGTTTAGGGTTCAGGGTGTAGGGTTTGGGGTTTAGGGTTTAGGGTTACCACCACCACCACCACCACCGCCACCACCACCTTGCTGCGTCATGTTTGTTTTGGGTTGGGAAGCGCACGAACACCCACCATGTAGTCAAGTACCATGCCGCGACCACGATGAGTGCGGCTACTCCAACTACTCCTGTTAAGGCTCACGCCGAAATCTACAACGACACTGGACCCGAAACCCTGGACCCTAAAACCCTAAACCCAGACCTCAGCGACCTCCTCCCCCCACACCGCATGCGCTGAGGAAGGTTGCAAGCCCAGAGTGGATAGAGCTGCAAGCCCAAAGTGGATAGACTTGGGGGGGTAAAAAAGGCCACAAGATGCATGACCAAAAAAAAGGCACTCTGAAGTGTCCTACTTCCCCCGACTTCCGGAGCCTCAAAAAATATTCAGGGCCCCGGGGAACTGACACCTCAGACTACCTCTTCTGAAGGCGGGTTCTAGGGCTACGGGAAGATTTAGGGGCTGAAGGCAATCGCCCTGGAAGCCCTCGCCACCCTGAACCTAAAGCCTACAAGCCTGAACAAAAAACTCTAAACCCTAAACCCTAAACCCTAAACCCCAAACCCCAAAGTCCCGAACCCCGAGCCCAAAACCCAAAGCCCCAGCTGGAAGGGTTCCCGGGCGTTCTGGTCGTCTCGTCCCAGGAGGGCGAAGCGCGGGGCGGCCCCCTCCCGCTTGCCCTGTCGATAGGGCTTACTTGGTTTAGGGTTTAGGGTTTAGGGTTTAGGGTTTAGGGTTAGGATTTAGGGTTTAGGGTTTAGGGTTTAGGGTTTAGGGTTTAGGGTTTAGGGTTGTAGGTTCATGGGTACCTATGACCCCAAACTAATAACCTGGGGGACTTAGGGTGGCTTATCAGTACCCTGAAACTCCAAGTAGGGTTTAGGGTTTAGGGTTTAGGGCTTAGGGCTTTTAGGGCTTTTAGGGCTTAGGGCTGACTTAGGGCCAACATGTCATCGGTGGTGGGCAGAGACCCCAAAACCTTCAAGGATAGCAGAGCGCACATCACGGATCAATCACCTAGCCTTCCGCAAACTTAAGCCTCCTTCAGACCTCAAGCCCCACCCCTTCAGCGACGGTGTAGGATTGCTGTAGACTGTTCATATTCTCATGCAGAAACCCACTATGATATGAGAGTCTCCCAAGATAGAGGTACCAATTGCCCCAACATGCCAAAGTCCATTCTGCGGGAACCCCAAACAGGTACGATTCTGCTTTCGAAGACCCACATGCGAAGCTCACTCGTGCCTTGTCCTCACCCTGCGAGATTCGCGCCTGTGCACACGGATTTCACAACGCTCGGGGGTCAGAACTTGGGGTCCAGCGTTTAGGGTTTCGGGTTTAGGGTTTCGGGTTTAGGGTTTAGGGTTTTGGCTTGAACATCATACGAAGAGCAATAGAGCGAGAACGATAGTAGCAGTAGCCATCAAGTGTTTCCATGCCTTGGCGATGAGCAGCTGTCGGACATGCTCATCCAAGATCTTCCTTGGATGGGTTTAGGGTTGAGGGCTTGGGGGTTTGGGGTTTGGGGATTGGGGTTAAGGGTTGGGGTTTAGGGTTTGGAGTCTAGGGTTTAGGGTTGAAGGTTTAGGGTTTAGGAATTGGGGTTTAGGGTGTGGGGTTTAAGGTTTAGGGTTTAGGAATATTGGGGTTTAGGGTTTAGGATTTGGGGAGCAGGGCTTCTTACCCCAATTCCTGAAACCCTAACCCCGCAAAGCGTCCGTGTTTGCAGCAGCGGCAAGGTGGAGATCGGGCACTCGCCTGTTTGGGCTGTCAAGTCTTCTTTGGTGTCCAGATGGGAGTAGGGTTTAGGGTTTAGGGTTTAGGGTTTAGGGTTTAGGGTTTAGGGTTTAGGGTTTCGGGTTTAGGGTTTAGGGTTTAGGGTTTAGGGCCAGGGTTTAGGGTTTAGGGTTTAGGGCTTACTGTTTAGGGTTTAGGGCTAAGGGTTTAGCCTCACCATGCAGTTCAGGGTTCGGAGATTACTTGGAAGTTCACGGGTACTTTTGAATAGAACCATAGTTACCCGACTTATAACCCTACTTCTGAGTACCCATGAACCTCCAGGCAATCCCCAGCCCCAAACCCTAAAACCCTCAAACCCTAACCCTTAACCCTAAACCCTGAAACCCTCAACCCTAAAGCTTCAAATCCTCTGGTCACCCAAAAACCCAAAACCCTAAACCTTAAACCCTAAACCCTAAGCCCGAACCGCCGCCCGCCACCTTGAACCGTCTCAAAGCGGTAGAGCGCGTGGCCCTCCGGGATTGTAAGCTCCTCCTGTGACGGCTTGCTTTGCGGTTTAGGGTTTAGGGTTAGGGTTTGGGGGGGGGGGGGGTTCACGATTTGGGGATGAGGGCTGTGTGTAAAGAACCAGCAAGACAACCCAGCCCCCTCAAGCCCCCTCAAGCACGTTAAAGCCCCTAGAATCTGCCGCAAGTCTGCATCGCGTCCTGCACACACCCCCAAACAAAAAGTCCACATGCAAAAGCCCAAGACCCCCCCGCTGAACTCCCGAAGAACACAAGGTTTGGGACTTGGGGCTTAAGGTTCGAAAGGTTGTTAGGGCATGAGGCTTAGGGTTTAGGGCTTAGGGTTTAGGGTTTAGGGTTTAGGGCCTAGGGTCTAGGGTTTAGGGTTCGAAGGGCTTAGGGCTTGAGATTTGGGGATGGATGATCTTGTCAGGTGCAACGCCTCCTCCTCCTCTTCCTCGTCCAGGTCATCCTGTTCCACAAACCCTAATTCCTGCCTATGGTCCTGTAGTTTGTAAGGGGAAGATACGTGATCCCCAGTTTGGGGCCCATATGAAGACTACCCCAAGATAAACCCGAAGCCTCAAACCCTTAAACCCCAAACCCTAAACCCCAAGCCCCAAACCCTGAACCCCAAACCTCCCCAAACCCCATATCCTAGACCCCAAACCCTAAACCCTAAACCCTAAGCCCTAAACCCTAAACCCCAAGTGACGATTCAAGCTGGGAAACGGCCCCCAGGAAATGGGGTTTCGGGTTTAGGGTAGGGATTTTAGGGATGTTAAGGGTTTGAGGGTATAGGGTTTAGGTAGGGTTTAGGGTTTAGGGTTTTAGGGTTTTAGGGTTTTAGGGTTCTAGGGTTTTAGGGTTTTAGGGTTTTAGGGTTTAGGGTTTAGGGCTCAGGGCTGCGTTGAGAAAGGACCTACATCTGTTTTGTCGACAGGCCTTTGGGACTTGAGACTCCTCCTTTGAGCTTCGCTTTGATGAGGGTTTAGGGTTTAGGGTTGAGGGTTGAGGGTTGAGGTTGAGGGTTGAGGGTTTAAGGGTTGAGATCGTACAGTTCAAGGCTTAGGGATATACCTAACCCTAAATCTTAACTGGCCAACATCTACGCCACATGCGATTTTTGCAACGTCCATAGGCCCTGCGACATCCTCAGCAGAAGGCGGCACCAATAAAATCCCAAATCCCTGCACAAGCGTCAACCCGAAAACTCCAAACCCTAAGCCCCTAGACCCTAGACCCTCAAACCTAAAACCCTACAGCCTCAACCCGAAAATTCGAAACCCTAAACCCCTAAACCCTCAACCCTAAAACCCTAAACCCTAAACCCTAAACTCTAAACCCTAAACCCTAAACCCTAAACCCTAAACCTTTAAGTGCGGCCAAGCCTCGTCTTCGCTCGAAGCCCCGCCAGATCGGCGGCGGACGATGGCCAAGAGGCGCTGGGCCTCGGCTTCCCTAAACCCTAAACCCTAAACCCTTAACCCGAAACCCTAAACCCTAAACCCTAAACCTTGAACCCTCAACCCCTAAACCCTGGACCCCGAAACCCTAAACCCTAAACCCTTAAACCCTTGAATCCTTAAATACCCTTAAATCCTTAATGCCCTTGAACCCCTTAAATCCTTAAATGCCCTTAGACCCTTAAGCCCTCAAACCCTAAAACCCTAAAACCGTAAACCCTAAACCCTAAACCCTAAACCCAGGCTTAGGGTTGAAGTTTGAAGAGGACGCCTGGGCCGAGCTGCTGCATTTTGGGACGCAGTGCCGTTGACCACTTCCTGCGCGACCTGCCACCCCACACCCCCTGGTCGAATTTCGGCTGTAGGGTTTAGGGCTAGGGTTTAGGGTTTAGGGTTTAGGGTTTGGGGTTTAGGGTTTAGGGTTTAGGGTTTAGGGTTTAGGGGTTGGGGGATTGGAGGTTGTTGGGGGTTTAGGGGGTTTTTCGGCCCAGACCCTGCACTCACGATGCATGGGACAGAACCTCCCCTCAGACCCTGCGAAACATCAAACAAAGCTTCAACTTGGAACCTTGCTTCCAACAGCGACAGCAAAAAAAAGACCACAAAGCACCCCTTATCGTCACTACCTAAATAGAATGATGCCACGCTCAGAGAGAAATTAGGTTGAGTATTTGATTGGCCGGAGTTGATTAACTAAACTACGTAAGTTCGAAGCTCCAGCTTGGCGAATGTAATTGATGTAAGTAGTTTAATTGGCCGGAAATTTGAAAAAAAAAAAAAAAAAAAAAAAAAAAAAAAAAAAAAAAACTCAAACCAATTATATAATCACTCTGTGCATGAGTCCAAGAATCCACAAGAATCAAAACGATCGAAGTATTTTGAATGAGGCTCATAACACTAAGAATGCTACAGTCTTCGTGTTCGTCTTCAGATTTAATCAGCATGCCATTTACGCCTTGAGCCCTCAACCCTGAACCGTAAACCCTCAACCCTAAACCCGAAACCCCAAACCGTGAACCCTAAACCCTAAACCCTAAACCCTAAACCCCAAGACTATCGGGAACCTGCCTGGGGCAGGTAGACCACCTTGGCTTCCTGGCCATCCGAATACCACAGGCCTCAGGGCATCTCTTGCAAGTGGGTTTAGGGTTTAGGGTTGAGGGTTTAGGGTTTAGGGTTGAGGGTCCCTAAACCCTAAACCCTAAACCCTAAACCCTAAACCCCAAACCCCAAACCCTAAACCCTAAACCCCAAACCCTAAACCCTACCCCCAAAACGGAGCCCTTAGTCCGGCGCCGTGCGTCCCCGGGCTCCAGTCCTTGCAGGGCAGAAGAACCTCTGAGAAGTTCGGAGTTTAGGCTTTCAGGGTTTAGGGTTTTAGGGCGTTAGGGTGTAGGGTTTGGAGGTTTAGGGTTTTAGGGCTTTAGGGCTTTAGGGTTTGGAGGTTTAGGGTGCAGGGTTTTGGGTTTAGGGTTTAGGGTTTTTTGTGTTTGGGGGTTTAGGACTTTAGGGTTTAGGGGTTTTTGGTTTCGGCCTTAGATCGGGTTTCGGGGTTTAGGGGTTTAGGGTTTTAGGGCTTAGGTAGGGCCTTGGGCTTTCGGGTTTAGGGCTTCGGGTCTAGGGGGGTTTCCATGGTCTCTCCTGAGGCGTCTCGGAGATGTCCGTGAAGGTCCGCAGCAGGGAGACCTACCAGCATCATTGCGAGCTATTCCGTTGCATTGCCCGGATATTTTTTGGGGGCTTAGGGTTTAGGGTTTTAGGGGTTTTTAGGGTTTAGGGTTTAGGGAATCCTTGCCCGGACTCTTTTGGGGAAATTTGGGGAACCTCTTTGAGAAGGATGCATTTTGGTAAGGACCCTGCTTAGGACTTAGGGACCCTCCCCTGGAGGATTGACCGTCCTCTTTGGGGTTGTTGAGTGGGTGGGAGAGGCGGCTGGTTCTTGATGTCCTCGCCCCAAAAACGGGAGAATAAGCTTCCCTTTCCAGAGCTCCTAATTTAAAATGAGCAGAGCTGAACAGAGCCTATCATTTTAGGATACCAGGAACAGGGGCTCTTGTTCACGAGCTCACACTCAGCTACCGCAATGAAGATGGCCATCTTCTCTGCAACATACCCCCGGTTTGTGGCCGTTTAAAGCAAGTTCCTCATCAGGAACCCTAAACCCTGAACCCTCAACCCCAAACCCTAAACCCTAAACCCTAAACCCTAAACCCCAAACCCTAAACCCTAAACCCTAAACCCGAAACCCTACCCTAAACCCTGAACCCGGGTTGAAGGTTTAGGGGTTTGGGGTTTCGGGCTTCAAGCTTTGGGGCTTGTAGGGTTTAGGGGTTAGGGTTTAGGGTTTAGGGTGTAGGATTTAGGGTTCAGGGTTTAGGGTTTAGGGTTTAGGGTTTAGGGTTTGGGGCTTATAGGGTTTAGGGTTTGGGGCACCCCCCAAACAAAACCCGCAGGGGAGCAAGCAATAGCAGATGGGAGGTTGAAGGCGGCACCTTTCAGGCTTTCGGGCTTGGGCAAGTAGAGGCTTCATGTCACACCCTCAACCCTAAACCCTAAACCCTAAACCCTAAACCCTAAACCCTAAACCCTAAACCCTAAACCCTAAACCCTAAACCCTAAACCCACTTCAAAAGGGACCCCTCAAATCAAGGGCGTCGGGCGTAGGGCTGACTATACCCGTCAACACAGAAAGGCTCAGAAGCCGGTCAAAGCCGAGCAACTCACAGGAACAACAAAACCTGTTTAAGGCGTACAAGAATTTAGGGCTTTAGGGTTTTAGGGTTTAGGGTTTAGGGTAGAAGGGACCCTTAATTTTAATTCTTCCCCTAGAGAACCCCGAGATAGACCTTATGTAATCCCTATATGCCTAAGCAGCCCCCAATAAGCCCCCAAAAGAGCCCCTAAGGTCCCTTATAAGATTCCCTCCGTTCGCTCTGCGTGTGACCGGGAGCCTTCGCCTTCATATCCTGGACGACCTCGCGCTCTGCGAAACCCTGTACCCTGTAGGGTTTAGGGTTTAGGGTTTAGGGTTCAGGGTTTAGGGTTTAGGGTTTAGGGTTTAGGGTTGAGGGTTGAGGGTTAAGGGTTTAGGGTTTAGGGTTTAGGGTTGTACTTCTACGGATTATGGGAACCCTACAACAAATGGCATCATTCAACAGAATGTGGTATAATGTATCACAATAGAACGCGTGCATGCACACATATACAGCCTTATATGTATATGGGTGGCCATATATATATATATATGTATATGTATATGTATACGTATATGTACATGTATGCATATTAAGCAATCAGCTTATCGAGGCGAAATCTGAGAACCGATTCACTCAACGAGTGGGTTTGGGGTTCAGGTTTGAGACCGCAGACCCTTGGGCCACCGAGGCTTTCTGGTCAAGGGTTGAAGGTTTAGGGCTTGGGGTTTAGGGTTTGGGGTTTAGGGTTTAGGGTTTAGGGTTTAGGGTTTAGGGTTTGGGGTTTAGGGTTTAAGGTTTAGGGTTTAGGGGGTTGAGGGTTTGAGGCGTTTTGGGGCCTCTGGAAGAGCCCTAAACTACAGCCCCCCGAAACGCCCCTAAATCCCTCGAACCCTAAACCCCTAAACCTGAACCCCTAAATCTCTAAACGCTAAACCGCGGACCCTAAAACCCTAAGCAACTAAGCCCTCAACCCTAAACCCCCCCAACCAAAAACCTAAACTCTGAACTGTGAAGTTCGGCGCTTAGAGGAGGGCGGAAAAACCGAATGGGGATGGGGTTTAGGGTTTAGGGTTGAAGGTTTGAGGTCTAGGGCTTACGGCTTATGGTTTTGGGTTCAGGGAGGATTTAGGGTTGAGGGGCTTCTCTCAGAACTTCAAACAGGTCGGGGTTTGGGGTTTAGGGCTTTGGGATCATTGATGCAAGGGAGTAGAACCTCCCTTCCCCCCCGCCTCCCCCCACCCAAGAACCAAGCAGCAAGCAAAAGAAGAAGCTCGCCACCCCAAAAAAAAACACCGTAGAAGAGCCTGGGTATTACCCAGTGGGTAAGGCTCACGAGGCCACCCAAAAAGCCCGCTCGAAAGCACCCCTAAGCCCTAACCGCCAAACCCCCAAACCCTAAACCCTAAACCCCTACACCCCAAACTCCCAAACCCCTGAACCCTCAGCCCCTAACCCCCTTAACCCTAAACCCGCAACCTAAACCCTAAACCCCTAAACCCTAAACCCCTAAACCCTAAACCCTAAACCCCTAACCCCCTAAACCCCAACCCCTAAATCCTAAACCCCCAAACCCTAAACCCTAAGCCCCTAACCCCTAAACCAAACCCCTAAACCCCTAAGCCCTAAACCTTATAAGGCCGGTGGCCTCTTTGTCTGTTACCCTTATACCTGAATATCGCCCTTAGATACCCCAATAAGAACCCCAATTATATGCCCCACAGAAACCCTACTTAAAGAGACCACCAACCCATACAACCGAAACCCCCAAACCAGTAAACCCTAAACCCCTAAACCCCTAAACCCTAACCCCAAACCCTAGACCCTAAACCCCTAAACCCCTAAACCCTAAACCCCTAAACCCCTAACCTCACTAAACCCTAAACCCTAAACCCGAAACCCTAACCCCCAAAACCCCAAACACTTTAAACCCTAAACCCCAAAGCTTCGTGAGGTCGGCGCCTCCTCTGCCGGTGACCCAAACCGTCGATCCAAGCCCGCCCGATCAACCTTTGGGGGTCTAGGGGTTAGGATTTAGGGTTTAGGGTTTAGGGTTTCGGCTTGAGGGTTTAGGGTTTAGGGTTTAGAGTTTAGGGTTTAGGGTTTAGGGTTTAGGGTTAGGGTTTTTTGGGGCTTTTTAGGGGCTTTTGGGGCGTTTAGGGTTTAGGGCTTAGGGTTTCGGGTGTTGGGGTTATGGGGTTTCGGCTTTAAGGGAAAGGTTAGGGGTAAACGGGTTCGGGGTTTAGGTTTTCTGCCCTTTAAAACCCTCTGAAATTAAAAATACTCCGGAATATGATCCTCTTAAACCCAAACACAGAGAAATATAAAATGGCCCAAGGCCTACCTACGCCCAGGAAGCCTTGTAAGGGGATTTTGGGGGGGATTCTGGGGAGTTTGTAGGGGGTTTTCGAGGTTTTGGGGGGGTTGGGGGGGTTTGCAGGGGGTTGTAGAGGTTCAGGGTTTAGGGCTTGACTTCGGGGTCAGGATATAGGGGCGGTAGTGCTCAGGATGTAGGGTTTCAGGGCTAAGGGTTGAGGACTCTCATCATAAGGGCTCACAGGATGCGAGGGAATTCATGGCTTGGGGGGCTTGCTCCTGCGTGCCTTGCTAGAATGTGCATACTGCCCGCACTTGTCTGATCACGACCTCTGCAGCTAAGTGGACACATGTCCGGTCAACCCTCAACCCACATTCAGATTTATTAAACAAAGAAAAATGTCAGGATATTTATATCATGACAATAAAACACATTAGATTTCTATTTCCGATGCTTACGCAGGAAGGCTCAAGACCCGGCTTTTATATCAAAGCTCCACAAACCCCAATCCCCAACCCAACCCTTCGACTCCTGCGTGGATCCCCCGCAATCCACCAAAACCCTTCCTTACAACCAGGAACAAACGCACTCGGCTCATCTTCCCTCGTGCTTTTAGACAAACAAGAAGGGGGCAGATTCCCCTAAACCCTAAACCCCTAAACCCCTAAACCCCTAAAACCCTAAACCCTAAACCCCTAAAGCCTAAACCCCTAAACCCGAAACCCTAAACCCTAAACCCGAAACCCTAAACCCTAAACCCTAACCCACCCCTGCAAACCTAAACCCCAAGGAGACGATCGCGTTCTCCCATACGTTGCAGTTCAAGCTGCGCACTTCAGCCTGAGCACACCATCGGTTTAGGGTTTAGGGATTCGAGTTTAGGAAGCCCTAAACCCTAAACCCTCAACCCTAAACCCTCAACCCTAAACCCCACCCTAAACCCTAAACCCCTGGGCTTCGGTGAGTTCTGGGGGTCTTTCAGTTTGGCGGTGGATGAGGGCGGCTTTTATTGCTGTTTTAGGCTGTTAGGGTTTAGGGTTTTAGGGTTTAGGGTTAGGGTAAAGGGGTCTAGAGAAAGAAAACAGCGCTAGCTTCTTGGGTTCTTCAGAAAGCCGGGCTGTCTGGGCTTAAAGGCGGGCCTTTTGATTTTAAAGCCGGGCCTTGGGATTTCAAAGGCCGATTTCCGGAATTCCAAGCGGCCCGAAACCAATGGTTTCCTTTAAGGAAACCTTTTGAATAATTGGTCCCCCTCAATCCGGCAAGGGGGTGGTCCAGGGGCCCCCTCGGACCCCCAATAGTGGGACTGATTCGGGACCCTCTTTAATGACCGGGCCCCGGCCCGGAGCCCCGATTTCGGATTGGAGGCTTGTGGCCTAATGCTTGCTGCAGTCAAGAAAGCCGGGCAAATACTACAGCACTACATGAATTACACATATTTACCCGAACTCCATCTTGAGCAGCCTTCCTTTTTCAGTATCCTTAAGTTGACCAAAGTCTACGAGCCCCATTTTGAATCCAACCTGGGCTTCCGTATCAAGCCGGGCCCAGCTTTGGGATCCTGCCCTGGCTTGTGAGTGCTGGTGGCGACCGCCGGCGAGAGTCTGCGCCCAAAGCTCTCTTTTGGGTGCCTTTCCCGAAACCGCAACGCAAGGAACGATGCTGACTGGACCGACTTTGTAGTTGCAAGCGATGCTTGCCACAGTATAGGGTTTTGGGTTCAGGGTGCCGACCCATTCGGGGTCTCTCTTGGGGGGGTTCCTTTGAACCCTAAACCCTAAACCCTAAACCCTAAACACCACAAAGGGTGAGATCTGACTGGACCAGACTTGCCCCTGATATGACCTTTATTCTCACCGCCAAACAAGCACCCAAGACACATATATGTGTGTATATAAACAAAGAAATAAATAAATATGCACTCAGCTACAGAACCCTGTATCCAGCCACTCAACCAGTTGCGCCTAGAGCCACCCCCAACGTATAAGCACCCACCCACGATTCCTGGCTCCCGAGTCGGAAGCCCTGAGAAGGGGCAGGGTTTCGGGTTTAGGGTTTAGGGTTCACGGGTGCGTAAATTGCATCATTGGGCAGGTGCATGCCCAGGCAGGTAGTGTGAGTGCTCAGGGTATACGGACACGGAGGACGTGGAGGACGGAAAGTCGCGAATAGCGACTCGCGAAGGAACTACTCAGGATCTTAACCTTTCGGCACATCTAACCCTACCCTTTTGGTACCCCCAATGGACCTCCAACCCTAAACCCAAAACCCTAAACCCTGAACCATAAACCGTAGACCCTGAACCCTGAAGCCTGAAGCCTGAAGCCTGAGGCCCGAACCCTAAAGCCTCCTCAAAGGGGCTCTAAACCCTCTCAAGCCCGAGATGCAGATGCTCCAGCAGCGTTGAGTCCGTTGCGTCCCCATTGACGGCCTCAGACCGGACGATGCTAACTCGGGGGTTCAGGCCTATTCCTAGGCCGCTTGGCGCCAGTGTTGATTCACACAGGTTTCGGGTTTCGGGTTTAGGGTCTAGGGCTATTCAAATTTGAAATGTTTGACATCTGAATTTAGCATAGACTGATTCAAATTTGAAATGCTTGACATTTGAATTTACACATAGATTGATTTAAATTTGAAATGTTTAGGGCTTAGGGTTTAGGGCTTAGGGCTTAGGGTTTAGGGTTCAGGGTTTAGGGTTTAGGGTTTAGGGTTTAGGGTTTAGGGTTAGGGCTTAGGGTGTTTTGATTGCAAATCTGCCAAAATCTGCTGCGCATCTTGCCAGCGCAAGGACTTGCTCCCAAGTGGCCCCGCAGACTTCGGGTGCCGTTAGATGGATTCTATTTAGGGGTTTAGGGTTTAGGGTTTGGGGTTTAGGGTTTAGGGTTTAGGGTTTAGGGTTTAGGGTTTGGGGTTTAGGGTTTAGGGTTTAGGGTTTAGGGTTTAGGGTTTTTGGGTGTAGGGTTTAGGGTTTAGGGTTTTAGGGTTTGGGGTTTGGGGTTTGGGGTTTAGGGTTTAGGGTTTTTGGGGGTAGGGTTTAGGATTTAGGGTTTAGGGTTTTAGGGTTTGGGGTTTGGGGTTTGGGGTTTGGGGTTTAGGGCTTTAGGGGTTTAGGGGTTTAGGGTTTAGGGTTTAGGGTTTAGGGTTTAGGGTTTAGGGTTTAGGGTTTAGGGTTTAGGGTTTAGGGATTGGGGTTTGGGGTTTTGGGGGTTTAGGGATTGGGGTTTGGGGTTTAGGGTTTTGGGGGTTTAGGGTCTAGATTTTAGGGTCTAGGGTTAAGGGTTTAGCGGGCTTAGGGCACTATCAGGACAGCTCTAAGTTTCAACACCAAACCCCGTAAATCCTAAGCCCCCAAAATCCCCCCAAAAATAAAAAAAAAAAAAAAACTAAGACCCCTGAACCCCTAAGACCTACCCCCTAATTAAACCCTGGCTCCAAACCCTAAACCCCTGAAACTCTGACCCCAACACTCCCCACCCTAAACCACCCTAAAACCTAAGCCCCTAAAACCCCTGAAACCCCTAAAACCCCTGAAACCCCTAAAAGCCCCTAAAGATTCCCAAGCCCCTCAAAACCCCTAAAACCCCTTAAACCCCCTCAAAACCCCACAAAACCCCCGAAAACGCCTAAAACCCCTAAAATCCCCGAAAAATCCCGAAACCTCCTAAAACCCTGAGCCCTTGGCGAAGCTCGTGCCATAGCCTTCCTCGAGGCCGCCTGGGCCCTCCCAGCTGACAACCAAGGGCAGTGCGGGGGCCTGTCGTGCGCGGGTTTGGGGGTTTTGGGGGGCTTGGGGGGTGTTGGGGAGTTTTGGGGTTTTAGGCTTAGGGCTTAGGGGGTTTGGGGTGTTAAGGTCGAAGGGTCTTCGAATTTCTGGTTCAGGGTCTACAGGGGCTCAGGCTCGCAAAGTTTAGGTTTGTAAACCTTCGGGTCGAGGGCTTTGCACTGGTGCTTGGCCATTTCTTCGCACTGCCGGCTTTGCACCTCATATCCCAACTACACCCGAAAACCCTAAAAGCCCTAAGACCCTAAGGCCATAAAACCGTAATCCCTCACCAGAATCCGGAGCGTGATAGCCCGACACAGACTCTTGCCATCCCAGCAACATATCATCATAAGGGCACACCTGTTTGGGGGGTTGGCTACTTGATGAGGGAACCCAGAACCCAGCAACAAGGGGGGAAAGGGTACCACTGGGCGACCAAGGACTCCAACTCACAAGGCCACGGAGAACCAGAAAACCAGAAGAAGACGACACTGAGACGGTCTCCGTCCACCTCAAGCCCACAATCCCAAAGGAATTCTAGGGCTCTAGGGCTCGAGGGCTCGAGGGCTCTAGGGTTTTGGGCTCTAGGGTTTAGGGTTTCGGGTTTAGGGCCTTAGGGGGGGGTTTAAGGTTTAAGGCTTAGGGCTTTTAGTCGCCAAAAGTCAAGCCCTGAGCCCACCTGGCTCACAATTGCGCCGGCCCCAACGTTGCCCTCGTGCAGGGCGGCCATGTAGCCTCGGGTGACTCGGTTTTTGGATTAGGGTTTAGGGTTTAGGGTTTAGGGCTTCGGGTTTCGGGTTTAGGGGTCCATGGGCTACAGCGCGTTTCGTCAAGGAATCTGACCTTGAGTCACCAGAATCAAAATATGATGTACGAGATATATATATATATATATATATATATACATGTGTATAGATATATACATAAATATATATATATCTCTATCTATCTATCACGCACCTACATGTAACGTGTACCTATAAACATGTACATTTACACACCTACATACAAAATACTTACATACATGCCTACATACCATGCACACATGCATACGTACATTACATTACATTACATTACATTACATTACATTACATTACATTACATTACATTACATTACATTACATTACATTACATTACATTACATTACATTACATTTACCATTACCATTACATTTACCATTACCATTACCATGACCATTACCAGTACCATGACCATTGCCACTACCATTACCATTACCATTCCCATTACCATGACCATTTTGGATTCCCATTACCATTACTATGCATATATGTATATATATATATATATAACATGTGTGCGTAGCATCAGCTTTCCAAGAAACAACTTCGGAACCTGGACTCCGGCAGTTTATTGGGAGTCGAATGCTCCCTTTGAGTCGGTCTTCCCTTCAAGAAGGCATTTCCCAACATAGGGGACCCCCTTAGGTTTAGGGTTTAGGGTTTAGGGTCTAGGGTTTAGGGTCTAGGGTCTAGGGTCTAGGGTCTAGGGTTTAGGGTTTAGGGTTTAGGGTTTAGGGTTTTGGGTCTAGGGTCTACGGTTCAGGGTTTCGTGTTTAGGGTTTAGGGTTTAGGGTTTAGGGCCCCCCTCAGCTGTTTCCCCACCCAAAAAACCAAAAAAACAAAGAACGAAAAGCCTTAATAGGAAGGTGCCCCCAAGGTCGGAAACCCCACGAGCGCGGGAATGAAATCGCAAGGACACACTTAGGGTGGTTTCCTGTCAAGTTGCGCAGCAAGGGTTTTGAGGGCTGTGGGATTTTTGGGGGGGGCAAAAGAAGGGCATCCCTTTCGCTGCACCCACTCTTCTACTCGTGGACCTTCGCAGCGTCAGGATTCAGATGCAACTCATCGCCGGCTGTTGAACATACCAACGACGGTCTCCTTGAAACTCACTGCGAGCCTCGGGTGTGCCGATCTCAAAGCACACCGACAGCGCCGGCAGCACTTGCCCGTTGTCGAGCCTCTCCTGCGAAGGTTTGCGCCGGTGGCCGACGCCCACCAACATGACCATGTGCTGGTCGACGTTGCTGAGCAACTCGGAGCAGGCGCCGTTCACGTCTTCTGCCGCCCTTCTTGGACACAAGAGCGCTGCCCTTAGCGTCCGCCGTCGCTTGCCCCTCCATCTTGGAGACGCAGTATCTACAGCTGTGGCGAAGGCGCTCAAACTCCTTCCGGGACACATCGTCGTGGTCCCGGATCTTGGATCGCACCTCGAGAGAGAAGGCGTCGCGCTGCTCCACGGTCGACTGCTGCGGCGTGGACTTCAGGAACTCGACCACGTCAAGTTGGATCGTCTTCCCATGTTGGCACACCTCCTTGAGCCGTTGAGGGCCCGGATCTCTCCCACTACCGCCGCGGAGGCTTCCGTCTCGAGGACTTCGCTGACTTTGCTTGCAGGGCACATGGGTACTGCCCGGTACGGCTCCGTCGGAAAAGGAGGCGATGCACGAGGAGTCTTGTCGTTGCCGCTGTCTTTGTCCATCACGCAGGCTCCACGAACACCCCTGTGGAACCCCCTTGAGGGGTCTTAGACATCCTAAACCCTAAACCACACTCCACGGCATCGTGTAGAGGCTCGCTATGAAGAAAACTTCACACCACGCCCCGAACACGCTCGAGAGTTCTTGGAGACGTTAAAGCCCTCAAAATGCCTAAAACAGGGGTCGGAAGAATGACGAATCATTTCCTTTACAAACATACCATCCCACTATCCTAATTATTCAGGCCCCTAGATTAACCAAGGTTACTGCCTTGAGCAGCCTGAGCACCACCATTGGAACCCAACGCCTTCGTACGACTCCTGCCGACTGCCGATACGGCTACACATGCTTCACACTTTCATACTTACTTTTCTGGCAGAGTCCAAAGCTCACACCATCTTCACACCCCCCGAAGAAGAACCCAAAACAGCCACAGAAGCTGAGAGTTCCTTTCCCATGAAGCTGCCCCCGAGGCGCCCAGTTGCCGCTGGACGCAGCAGAGGAGCGCGCACACCTGGGCCATCTCCTGCCAAGGTCCCCGTCGCCCCAATCACAACCCCCACGCCGCAGACATGGCGAAGGAGGCCCTCTCAGCATTACTTGTAGGGGCTTGGTGTTTAGAATGAATTTCTAAAGTGCTCCTACCCCTAAAGCCGCCTAAACGTTAACGACCCAAAAGAGGCCCACAAAGGCCCGAAACCCTAAACCCGAAGGACCCTAACAACCCACACGGGCCCATCGCTGCCCTGTTGAGGGTGTCCTGGGCGTTGCCGATGGTCTCCGCTTCGCCCCACCTCTCCTCCACCTGCGCCCGGGCTTTGCGGGGTTTAGCAAGTGTTTAGGGTTTAGGGTTTAGGGCTTAGGGTTTCGGGTTTCGGGTTTAGAGTTTAGGGTTCTAGGGTTTAGGGCGGCCCTTTCTTTCGTTTCGCTTCCTTTTCTTTCATTCCTCGGTTCCTTGACTCCTTGATTCCTCGCACTGATCGTCTCCCTTTCTGCCTTCCTTCCCTCCTTTATAGAATCCTTGAGGGAGGGGGGTTCTCAAAGCCTTTTTGTTATCCTGACAGATGATAAGTCCTTTGTAGGGTCCTCAAGGGAGGGGGTTCTCAAAGCCTTTTTGTTTTCCTGACAACGTTGTTATGTGAACCCTATCCTGCCGTTCCAGGGGGCATGGGACGGTTCCTGAGAGCTTCCAAGAAAAAGCCTCTACACCAAGCCCTGCCTCCACCCTACCAACCCCAAGCCCCAAAACCCGAAGCCCTAAACCCTCAAGCACAAAAAGCATGTTTGCAGCACTGTGAGGCCTTGTGCCTAGGGCTCCAGGGAGGTTAGGGTTTAGGGTTTAGGGTCTGCGGTGTAGGGTTTAGGGTTTAAGGTTTAGGGGCTTTTGGTGTGAGCTTAGGGTTTTGGGGGGGCTCTTTCCGTTGACGCGCAACCTGGGTGAGATCGAGCTTGGTGTCGGCCTGCGGCGAAGGGCTTTGGGGGGGGAGGGGGGGGGCTGGTTCTGGCATGCTCGAATTGAGCATCGGATTGCAACCTGTCTGCAAACGTGCAAAACAGTATGTATGTCTACGTACATGTACAGATGTATATACTGCACAAGAAATATATATATATACACATATACCAAAAAAATGTATACGCATATGCATATACATTTAAACATGTATATATATATATATATATGTTTGCTCGCCCCCCCGCCCCCATGATCCACACATTTGGCCTCGGGAAGGGGGTTTTGGGAGGGGGGGGGGGGACTCCAGACTCCAGATTTCCAGAAAAAATCTGGAGTACCCGGGCCCCGGACTCCAGAATTCAGATTTCCAGAAAAAATCTGGAGTACCCCTAGACTCCAGACTCCAGATTTCCGTAACTCCAGACTCCAGATTTCCAGAAAAAATCTGGAGTACCTCCAGACTCCAGACTCCAGATTTCCAAAAAAAATCTGGAGTACCGGGACTCTGGACTCCAGATTCTGGAGTCTGTAATCTGGAGTCTGGGGCCGCGAGTACTCCAGATTTTTCTGGAAATCTGGAGTCTGGAGTCCGGGGCCCGGGTACTCCAGATATTTTCTGGAAATCTGGAGTCTGGAGTCCGGGGCCCGGGTACTCCAGATTTTTTCTGGAAATCTGGAGTCTGGAGTCCGGGGCCCGGGTACTCCAGATTTTTTCTGGAAATCTGGAGTCTGGAGTCCGGGGCCCGGGTACTCCAGATTTTTTCTGGAAATCTAGTGTTTGGGGTTTAGTGTGTAGGTTTCAGGGTTTAGTGTTTTGTGTTTAGGGTTGAGTGTTAAGTTTAGGTTTTAGGGTTTAGGGTCAAGCAGCTCGGCTAACACCCAAATAAAACCCTAAACTCTGAAATCCAAACAGTAAGCATCTGAAACCCCGACGGGTTTTTGGTTTCAGGTTTAGATTTAGTAGGGCTCGAGGTTCTGGCCTTGGGGTTTACTGTTTAGGGTTTAGGGTTTAGTGTCTAATGTTTAGGTTAAGTGCTTAAGTGTTTAGGGTTTCGTGCTAAGTGTTTGGGGTTTGTGCTAAGGGCTTAGTGTTAAGTTTTTAGGGTTAGTGTTTAGGGTTTAGTGTTGAGGGTTTCGGGTTTGGGTTTTAGGTTAAGGGTTTTAAGGACTTTTACAAATTTAAATGATCTGGGGAAGGCACCGGGGCTGCCCCAGACCATTGACAACTTAAAGAATCCTTCCGTTTAGGCTTTAGGGTTTAGTGTGTAGGGTTTAGTGCGTAATGGTTAGGGTTTAGTTTGTAGGGTGTAGTGTTTAAGTGTTTAGGGTTTAGTGTTTAGTAAGGGTTTAGTGCTTAAGTGTTTAGGGTTTCGTGTTCAGTGTTTGGGGTTCGTGCTATAGGGTTAGTGTTTACGCTGGTGTTTAGGGTTCAGTGGTAAGGGTGTCGGCTTTTTTTGGGGTTAAGGGTTTAGTGTGTAGGGTTTAGTGTGTAATGTTTAGGGTTTAGTTTTTAGGGGTGTCGAGGTGTTTAGGGTTTCCTGTTAAGTGTTTGGGGTTTGTGCTAAGGGCTTAGTGTTCAGTTTTTAGGGTTAGTGTTTAGGGTCTGGTGCTGAGTGTTTAGGGTTTAGTAGTGCTTAAGTGTTTAGGGTTTCGTGTCAAGTGTTTGGGGTTTGTGGGCCTAGTGTTAAGTTTTTAGGGTTAGTGTTTAGGGTCTAGTGCTGAGTGTTTAGGGTGTAGTGTTAAGGGTTTCGGGTTTGGTTTTTTGGATTTAGGGTTTTAAGGATGTTTACTAGTGTTCAGGGTTTAGTGTGTAGGGTTTAGTGTGTAATGTTCAGGGTTTAGTTTTTTGGTTGTAGTGTTTGAGTGTTTAGGGTTTCGTGTTTAGGGTCTAGTGCTTAAGTGTCTAGGGTTTCATGTTAAGTGCTTGGGGATTGTGCTAAGGGCTTAGTGTTAAGTTTTTGGGTTAGTGTTTAGGGTCTGGTGCTGAGTGTTTAGGGTTTAGAGCTAAGGGTTTCGGGGATGGACTTTAGGGTTAAGGGGTTTGAGGGTTTTTGCAAGTTTACATGATCTGGGGAAGGCACTGGGGCTTCCCCAGCCCATCCTTAAAATCTTAAAAAAATCTTTAAGCTTCTGTTTAAGCATTCTCAGGATTATGAAGGTTTTAAGCCGTTTAAGCCTTTCAAAGACCTTAAATTGCTTACGTCTTTAATTGGCTGCCCTTTGCGGATTTTAGAGATTGTTGAAGTTGCCAATGGTCTGGAGAAGCCCCGGTGCCTTCCCCAGACAATATAAAATTTTTAAAATCCGTAAAACCCTGAAATTCTTACAGTTGTAAATGGCTGTCCTTTTAAAGTCTAAAGATTTTAGGATGTTCAATTCCAAAATCCGTAGCTTCCTTAATTTTAAACGGCTGCCCGTTTTAAATTTTTAAGAATTTTAGACTTTTAAGGGATAAACGTTTCGAGGTTGTTAAGGGCTTTAAAGCCTTTTAAGATCCTTTAAATCTTGAAAATTTTGAAAGGCTTTAAATACCTTAAAGCCTTTCAAATTTGAAAAGGGCTGCCCCTTTTAAGGATCTTTAAAATTGCAAATGGTCTTGGGAAGCCCCGGTGCCTTCCACAGATCATCTAAATTTTTACAAACCCCTAAAACCTAAAACCCTGAAAAGCCTTAAGCTTCTAAATGGCTACCCTTCTAAAATTTTATAGAGCCGCAAAACACAAGTTTCAGAAGCAAAATGCACATAAAAACACTAGTGTTTTTATAGAGGATAATATAATAGAGCTTTTTGTATTCCAGTGCAGTTTTTACTGCATTCTTCCGGTGAAAAAACAGAAAATCAGACAAAGACGAAGACAGGAAAACCATAGGTGTGGATCATGGGGGGGGGCTGACCATGTGTTTATATGTGGGGTCCCCTCTTTGACTTTGGACACGCACCTCCCGTGGGCTTCTGCCAGAGCGCTGGGACACCCCAGGACCGCTCCCGAGTTTAGGGTTTCGGGTTTAGGGTTTAGGGTTTAGGGTTTAGGGTTTAATTCGGGTTTAGGGTTTAGGGTTTAGGGATTGGGGTTTACGGTACCCCACTGGGGAAACCACATCCTCGACAAACCCGCCGCTCTTATGCCGCAAGCCATCTTGTGGTACCTTATACTTTTTGGACTCCCTCAATCCTAAACCCTAAACCCCTAAACCCGAAATCCTAAACCCTCAACCCCAAACCCTAAACCCTAAACCCTCATGGCTTTCTGGTCCTTTGCCTGGGCTGCCCTCAGTCGGCAGCCACGCCGCACATTTCGCGGTGCGTAGCGCGCCGCTGCTAGGGGGAGCAGCCTGGGACTTGTGGCTTTTGTTTTTACTTTTTTGGGGTTAGGGTTTAGGGTTTAGGGTTTAGGGTTCAGGGTGCAGGGTTCAGGGTTCAGGGTTCAGGGTTTAGGGATCTGAAAACGTGACAACCGCAGACGCTATGTCGATACCCCGGGGAGCTCACAGAAGTGGGCATCCCACGCCGACTCTCCCGGGACTTTCGGGTCCTTATTACCAAGCGTATCCTACTACTTGGGGACTATAATAGGGGGCCCCCTATTTTCCTTAAGCCCCAAATATCAATCTTCTGAACGCACGAGCGACGTGCAACGGCCTGAAGGCCGACTTCTAAGACCCCCAATCAAGACCTCCTTAGCCCACAAGCCCCCAAGCGCAAACCCAAAGCTCATCGGAAGCCAACAATTACGGGTTCTATGTAGAGGGAAAATTTGCCCGATCCGCGAATTCCCATAAACCCTCCACCCCTTAACCCTCAACCCCTAAACCCTAAACCCCGAAACCCTACACCCTAAACCCTCAACCATAAACCCCTCAACCCCTAAACCCTTAACCCCTAAACCCTCAACCCTAAACCCTCAACCCTCAACCCTCAACCCGAAACCCTCAACCCCAAACCCTAAACCCGCAACCCTCAGCCCTAAACCCTCAACCCTCAACCCCAAACCCACAACCCTCAACCCTAAACCCTAAACCCGAAACCCTAAGCCCACAAGCGCTCCCAGCAACGCCAGGAGCCGGTGGGCTTTCAAAGGCCTCGGCTCTGGGAGGTCTCTTTGGAGGACTTCCGGGGAAAACCCTGCACCCTAAACCCTAAACCCTAAACCCTAAACCCTAAACCCTAAACCGCCAACCCCTCAACCCCTCAACCCCCAAACGACCCTAAGCCCTACACCCTACATCCTAAACCCTTAAGACTACCCTCGAACTAGATGCTGCGTGTGATATGCATATTGTGTTTTGGGAGTATTGTTGTTCATCTTTGTTTCTTTAATGGGGGAGGGGTGTTGTTGGGCTTCAGCGCTGTCCATGTTTATTCATGTAGACCCCTCCCCCGTGGACCAAGGGGATTAGGGTTTCATTGTCTTCAAAAACGATAAACGAGTGTGTCGTTGTGGGGTCTTTCACATCCACAGACAGTGGTTTACGGTTTAGGACTCAGTGTTTCAGGAGCATTCACCTTAGTTGTCCAGTATCCTAGGGGAACCAAAGGTTAACCTTTGGGAATATATAGGGAATATAGGAACCCAAAAAGGTTAAAGGTTGCCTACTCACCCTAAACCCTAAACCCGAAACCCTAAACCCTGAACCCTAAACCCTAAACCAGTGTTTAAGGAGCATTCACTATCAACCACCATCTGGCCAGGCGACCTGCCCGACGAAGCACCTGACCTGAATCGCTCCTGTTGGCGGCAGGAGCGGCTGAAACAGTGCGGCATGGGTTTAGGGTTTAGGGTTTAGGGTTTTGGGTTTTGGGTTTAGGGTTTAGGGTTAGGGTTTTAGGGTTTACGGTTTAGGGTTTAGGTGCCTTACGTGGAGGTTCCTGGGCACTTGAAAGTGGAGTATTCCGGAAGGGAGTCAGAAGACCTCAAGGGTTGCAACCTTGTCCAGTGTACTTCTCGCCCGAAATATACATACGTGAAGTACTCAGGAACCTCCGCGTAAGGCACCTAAACCCTAAACCCTAAACCCGGAAGTAAGGTGGTGCGCCGACTCTATGGATGCGACCTGCACGTGGCTTCAGAATCCAAGGTTTAGGGTTTAGGGTATGGGGTTTAGGGTATGGGGTTTAGGGTTTCGGGTTTGGGGTTTAGGGTTTAGGGTTTAGGGTTTAGGGTTTGGGGTTTAGGGTTCAGGGTGGACTTGAAGAAGTACACTTCGGCAAAGGCCAGGCCCCAGTGGCTCGAAGCCCTTGCATCCCGGAACCCTAAACCCTAAACCCTAAACCCTCAACCCTAAACCCGAAACCCTGAACCCTAAACCCTAAACCCTGAACCCTGAACCAACCTGCTCCTGGTGCACGCAGCCATGAGGTCTGCGTGCCACCTCCGAACAGCTGGGTGGAACTCGGGTCTTGAGCCTGAGGCTTTGGGGCTTCGGGGTCAAGGGTTGATACACTTGCCATCCGGCAAAAAGGGGGGGGGGGTGGGGCGGGGTTGGGAACCCCCAAAATCGCTCAAGGGACCTTTGAAAGAGGATCCCCACATTGAAAGCGTTCCACAACAGGCGGTTTTGGTTGCCAGTTTCTGGGAATTAACTCCCTGTCTTCACAACCATCCGTGGCAGAACCGGAAGCTTGTGTCCAGACCGTTCGCTTTCATAGCATGCACGAAGATGAAGACGGCTGGTTCTTAGTAGGGAGTGAGGGAATGAGGTACCCTTTATCCCCTCCCCTCTTTAAGTATGTGTATATATATATATATACCCTTAAGGGATCATATAGGGTACTTCATTCCCCCATTCCGTACTGAGAGCCAGGGGGAAGATTTGCCCTGTTCCCGGAAGGTCTTTCAGGTTCTGTCATGAAATGTCACAAGGAGAAGGGTTTAGGGTTTAGGGTGCAAGGTTTTGGGTTTAGGGTTTAGGGTGTTAAAGTCGTAGGGTTTGCCTGCTCCTGGCAGGTTTTTCCTTTCAGCTCTCCATAAGGCGTGCGATGGGCCCTCCTCCCCAACCCATCTGCTGCCAGTTGGGGCCTGACGGTTTCCGGGGCCTCTTTGATCGGCCTGAGCCAGCGCCCAGATGGTTTTTGTTGGCTCCTTTGGGGGGCTTTTTGCAAGACAGAAGAACAGACAAAGCTCCTAAAGAGAATGGGATTTCCTCCGGTTTGTTGGAGATTCTGCAATGTTGTTGAAGGAACTTACAGTCAGGTAACATAATCACAGGGCCAACTACCAGGGTTGAAGGCTCAATTCGGGTTGAAAAGCCGACCTGGTCGCCGTTCTAAAAGGTCCTTGAAAGGGGTGAACCATCGGGAGAACAACTTGAAACGGAAACCTGCTTTATGGCTTTTTCGGAGACAAGTAAATGCATATATATATATATATATAACATATATATATATATATACATATACGGGTGGTTGTCAAAACTATGATCCCTTTTGGGGTACCCTAAAAATATTAGGGATCCACAAAGGGGCCATAATTTTGACAACCACCCATATAGAAACCTCGGACTCTGATCTCCACTTGCAATGTGCAGAAGGAGAGCCTGTGGTGGCAGTCGAAGCCACTGGCCGTCGTACGCCGCCTGAGACATCATGGCCTGCGCCCCGGCAGGAACTTGGGGTTTTAGGGTTTAGGGCTTAGAGTTTCGGATTACAAGCTTGGGGTTCTGGGTTTAGGAACAGCAGCAGTATGGTACGAAAGCAGTTGCATTCAACATAAGCAGAACCATCAGTCAGAGCAAGGATGATTCTGATAATCATGTACAAGGATGTCAGTAGCCCTGATGACAACAGCCGTTATGCAACAACAACTGTGATCTCGATTTCGGCATCCTTCACGGTGGTGAAGGGTCAAGCCCTCGTAAAAATTTTTCCTGGATAGGGTTTGGGTCTAGGGTTTCGAGGCTAGGGTTTAGGGTTTAGGGTTCAGATGTCCTGGGAAATAGACCCCAAAACCTTCCCGGCTTCAGAGTGTCAGAGCTGAGGGGGCTTTGGGATGTTTACGACCGGATGTGGCCCAGAGTCGGAGAGCCTTTGCAGAGAAGAGGCCGGCAAGGCTATCCCATGACCGCGGCTGCACAGCTACGCAGCCAAAGGGGGGCGAGAGGTCTCTCAAGAGGTAACTGGGGCTGCAGAGCACGAGCTAACAGGGGGGCCAAGTTTGCAGTTGTCACGGCCTAACAGTTCTTAGAAAAAGATGTGCTCCCCGGATACTCAAATAACGACCCCCTGAGGACACTCGTGACCCTCTGGTGATGTTGCGATGCACTTTCATGAGCCGAACACTGCACAGCGACAGGGCCCCATTCTTGCAGCTTGAAGGGGGGGGAGAAGGGCCTCAGGGAAGGAAATCTTGCACGACCTCGCTTTGCCTCTTGGAACTTTTTTTTGGGGGGGTTTCTTAGGGGTACCTTACTGGGATCCTTATCACAAGGGAATCCGACTCTTTGCGGATCTACATTGGGGGTCGCGTGTTTTCGCAGACGCCCGTGTCTTAGGGTAGTTGCATGGTTCCCTAGTCTGGGCCCTTGATTGGGGAACCCTTTTTTTCCCCCTTGTATACCCTATAAACCCCCATTCAGGGACCATGTAGCTTCCCTGAGAATACTGTCTTGGTCTTGGGGTAGCTCAGCCGGAGCAAGCACACTCTACTTAGCGTTGGGCTGCACGCCAAGTCCGAAGGAACTTCCCTAGAGCGTAAACCTCGACTACACCTGTTTACCCTAAGACTCTAGATCCTGAAGCCTGAGCCTATATCATGCAAGATGGGACCCCTGGAAGGGACCCTTAATCTTATTCCCTACATCACCCCCTTATATGGCCCCTCTATACCTAAGTAGCCCGAAGGTCCCTTATAAGGCTCCCTCTTAAGATGGTGCCCCCTTGAACCAACAGCCCTCAATAGAGAGACAAAATAGGAGGTACCATATAATCCTTATTACAGAAAGCATCCCAAGCTCCCCTCCTTCAGCCCCTTGACATGACACACGTGGTCGGAGACTGTGCAGGTCCCGGGCCCTAAACCCTAAACCCTAAACCCTGAACCCTAAACCCTAAACCCCAAACCCTAAACCCTAAACCCTAAACCCTAAACCCTAGGGGCCGGGCCGCTGCTGCCCGGAGGAGCGCTGGTCCACCTCCTGGGAGATTGCTTGGCAGGCTTCGGTCTGAAATAAGGGGGTTTAGGGTTTAGGGTTTAGGGTTTAGGGTTTAGGGTTTAGGGTTTAGGGTTTAGGGTTTAGGGTTTAGGGTTTAGGGTTTAGGGTTTAGGGTTTAGGGTTTGGGGCTAGGGTCTAGGGTTTGGGGTTTGGGGTTTAGGGTTTAGGGTTTAGGGTTTAGGGCTAGGGTTTAGTTAGGGTTTGGGGTTTGGGGTTTAGGCCTTCGGGTTTCGGGTTTAGGGTGAAAGGGTAGCATTTTGGGGGGTTTTAGGATTTTGTTACAAGGTCAATCCTAAACCCTAAACCCTAAACCCTAAACCCTAAACCCAAAACCCTAAACCCTAAACCCTAAACCCCTAAACCCCTAAACCCCAAAAGGCCCAGGAAGAGGCGAATCCTCCGCCAGGCGCTGCTGCAGATCCTGGGTTTCTGGCTCTCCGGCTTTACCCGCTTCTTAGGGTGGAGATTTTGGAGTTTAGAGTTTAGGGTTTAGGGTTTAGGGTTTCGGGTTTTGGGGTTTAGGGTTGGGATGCTCCCCCTCGGGACGAGAACACCGATTGAGGACTGTCAGCACAAGGGGGAAACATCCCAAGGCACAGCTTTAGGATTTGGAGAGAATTAGGTAAATAAGGTCCGCCTCTGAAACCCTTTAAGTAAACACTTTGCGTGGCACCCAAGTCCCCGATCCTCCCCACTAAGATCCAGTACCCTGGGATCCTGAATCCCAGAACCCTAAAACCATAAATCCTTGTAAACCCTAAACCTCGGGATCTTCCCCCTTATACTACCAATAGGGATGATAGTACCCCCTATTAACATCCCTATTAAGGACTGATGGTATAAGGGGGAACATCCCAACCTAAATCCCTTACCCCTCGAATCCTCAACCCCCACAAACCTCCCAAAACCCATAAAACACAAAAACCCTAGATGCCAGAAATGCCCTAAACGATAAACCCCCTGAACCTAGACACCTTAATCCCTTACTACACCCCTAAACCCCAAGAACCCCAAAGACACAAAAAAAACCAAAAACCCCTAAAACCCCCAAACCCCAAAAAAACCTAAACACCTCAACCCCAGAGACCCAAAGCCCCGGCCCCTAGAACCGCTAAAGCCCCTAAACCGCCTAAAGCCCCTAAACCCTAAACCCTAAACCCTAAACCCTAAACCCGCCGAAAGCCCCTAAACCCTGCCTCCAAAGCCGTCTGCGTGGCGTCCAGTGGCAGCTCCCAGCCCTGGTCGGGTTGAGGGTTTAGGGTTTAGGGTTTCGGGGTCTAGGGAGCATGCCGCCGCAAGAGGAGCCATAAGATTGAAGGATTAGGAGCTGCGAGGGCAGCATTCTTGTCAAGGAAGCCCCCGTTGACACACCCCCCCCTGAGCACCTGATCTGGGATCCTCTTTTGCATGTCTGCAGGCCCGAGCCTACCACTCCGACCCCCTGGTCGGTCCAGGATTCAGGGTTTACGGAGAGCTCTCGAAAATTGGGCGGAGACATTGAGACGAGTTGGTATTCTCTCGCCTCGAGGAAAAGACATGTGCTCCGGTTTTTGAAACACTGAGTGAATTCAGGCAGACTCGCTGCAAACGCCCAAGGATCATGGGCCCGGTCTGCTGGATGAATCTACGGTTCTACATGGTTCTAGGGTTCTGCGTCGTGCCTTTTTTTTTTGAATATTTATTTTTAAAAATCAAAATGTAATAACCCTTCAGACCACAGAGAGGCCGTCTCCGCCAATGATGAAGCCATCGTCATAGCGCCTCCAGGCGAACAGCACCACGCCAATCAAGGCCAGGGGCACGGTCAACTTCACGATGGAAGCGAAGACGTTGGCCAGGATGGGGATGGCCCGTGGCCGTTTGTCCGGGGCAATTGGCACGGTTTGTGCGGCAACCGCCCGGCGATATCTCTGCCTCAGCTTGGGGTCTGCCTCCATGATGCGATCGTCGAGGTCAAAGATGAAGTAGAGGGACACCGCCGTCATCGCCACGTTGGCAATGCGGCCCGTGAAGGTGGCAACCTTCAGAAACATGGCGGCCTCGAGCAGAATGGACATCAGGACGTTCAGGAGCATCGACAAGGTGCACCAGAAGTACTCGTTGAAGCTGGCGGACTTGTCCGAAAGCTCGGGATGCTCAAGGCGCTTGTACGTGTCGAAGGCCGTGTTGACACCTCCTTTTAAGCTTCCCAAGGCCTGCTCGGCCCCCTCGGACAGACCACCCAGTCCGGCCACACGAAGGGACGAAGCAAGGGGATTCAGGAGACTCTCTTCAGGCTGAGGCTCGGATGCCTGTGACGACACAGACGACCGTCTGCTTGCGGGCATGCCGCTGCCGCCTTCGCTGGGACTGTCATGCGAGAGGATGTACATGTTCGCCTCTGCTCCGTGAAAGATGTGGCGGACGCACTTCTGTGCAAACATGGTGCAAAGGGTGCCCAAAGCAGTGACCATTGCAAAGAAGGTTCCACAGTTGGCCAAGAACCACAGGGGAGACTTGACCCCCAGACACTGCCATCGCTTCAGCGTGTTCGTGGCGATTTGGTAAGGTATCCAAATCTGCATGTAGGCCACAATCAAGGCCCTGAGGGCGTACCCGAACCAGGCGGCATATCCGATGATTCCGGGATGGAGAACCGCCAGAAGGCGGTAGATGTTGCCCGGGGCAATGAACTCCGTCGACATGGGGTCCAGCCGAGCCTACAGGGATCGTGTAAGGAGTCTTCATGCCCGCCCCCCCCCCCCCCCCAAAAAAAAAAAAAGATAATAATAATAATAAGAAGAAGAAGAAGAAGAACAATAATAATAAAAGAACACAGCTTGAGAGCTCACATCTCTTCTCCATCTCAAATGAGGCCTTCAGCTCCTCCTCGCGGATGGGGTTCTCCGCATCACTCTCCTCCTCCTCATCCTCATCACCGTCATCGGAGCCCAGCTTGCCAGAAAGGATGCCTTGCACTCTGCTGATGAACCTCTCACGGTTGGAGGGGATGCAGAAGGTGTAGCACAACCAGCCTACGATGCCGAGGATGATGAAGAGAATCGTGTACCGGGTCAATTCTTTCTTGGTGTGCTTGACGGTATCCACTAGCACTGCAGAACCTGGCACGTGATACTCCCCGAAGGATGTTTGGAAATCGATGCCCTCCGGCGGCACGGACAAGTTGCCGCAGGGGAGGATCAGCTGGTAAGAGAAGAAGTCCAAGCAGGGCACTTCCACAAAGAGGACGTTGTTCTCGATCCCTGCTGGATCGATGTACGGGCCCACGTGGGGGTGCCGGGGGTCCGTGTTGTCAACATCCGTCAGGGTATGGTTTGTCCCCTGAATTGTCTGGGTTGGGTCAAGATCAAACTCCTGGTGCGCCGGTGAAGGACTCAGAGCCACCTGCGGCATCGTCCAGGCCGTCTCGACCAGCCTCCTTGCTGCCCGCACCTGGCAACTTCGCACTTCAACGTTACGGGATCCTTTTGAAGGCTGCTTTTTCAGAGTGGTGCCTGCGTTCAGGACCTGACAAGAAGTTCCCCCCCGCTGCCCGACGAGTTCTTGTTTGGGATCTATTCGGGCAAAGGTGCGTGAGCAAACAGAGCTCTGAAAAGGCTGGCTTCCACAAATTCACCCCCCCCTCCCCTCCACCCCCACACCCCCCCCCCCGGGCCTGAGATACCTGCCCATGGCCCTGCACACCACCGCTGTCGAGGAGATCTTGGTCGATGTACTCCACGGCCACGAGGATCAAGGCCACCGATCCCCACCATGGCAAGGCCTTCGCCATGGCTACTACTGGGCTGTTTCTTCCCTGGCGCTAAGGTCGCACAGAAAGGCAAAAGGAGCCCCAAGAGCCTGCAGAATGCAAAACACAGAGCTCACAACTGCTCACCAGCTAGCAGAATAACAAAAAACATTGTTGTTGGTAAATCTCTCACAAGCACCTGCGAGCGCATGGACCGGAAGTTCGACCTCCTTCCCAAATGCCTTGCGAAAAAAAATGGCCTCGAGGCGCCCCCCCCAAATCGTGTAATTCCCTTATAACAGGGACCCCCCAAAAAACGTACTCCCCGAGGTTCGGACACCACCAGATCTTTGAAGGCGCAAACCCCTAAATCTCTCAGCCATTGGGCCTTCTTCGGCGAGAGAACTGCTGAGGAGGCGCTCCTACAGTTCGGGAATCGAGGGGTTTCGAGGGTTTCTGGGAGTTTGGAGCTTGTAGGGTTCGGGGTTTCTAGCGTTTAAGGTTGGGAGAGTTTAGGGCTTGTAGGTTTAGGAAATTTTGGGGTTGAGGCTTCATAGGGCTTGGGGTTTCGGGCTTTAGGGTTCACAGAGGTTTCGGGCTGCAGGATTTAGGGGTTTTGAGGCTTGGAAGGCTCCGAGATGTAGGGTTGAGGATGATGCAGATTTCAGCTTTCAAGGCTGTGACAATGAGGCCCTGAGTCTCAATGGCAAGTTGTTTCGGGTCTTGCGGTTTATGGGTAAACTAAACCCTAAAGCCCACCCAAGAATCCCAAAGCTCCGATTTCCCCCCCTGAACCCCACCTGCTGGACAACGCACCCTGAAAGCCTGAAACACCCCGAGCCTGAAAACCAACCCAAACACACGCGGATAAGCCTGGATCCTCCCTGTCCCAGGATTCCGGATTGCGATCCCAGGGTTTAGGGTTTAGGGCTTAGGGCTTAGGGCGTACTTAGGTTTTAGGGCTTAGGTTTCAGGGCTTAGGGCTTAGGGCTTGGGGCTTACTTAGGGTTTAGGGCTTCGGGTTTAGGGCTTCGGGTTTAGGGCTTAGGTTTAGGGTTTAGGGTTTAGGGTTTAGGGTTTAGGGTTTAGGGTTTAGGGTTTAGGGTTTAGGGTTTAGGGTTTGGGGTTTAGGGTTTGGGGTTTGTGGTTTGGGGTTTAGGGTTTAGGGTTTAGGGTTTAGGGCTCTCCTTGGAAGCGCTTTCACGACAAGGCCCGCCGGCTCCAGGGCCATGGCTGGGCAAAGCTATGTGCACGATTCCGGGAGGGGGAAAAGGCGGAGGGGAACAGGCTTCTTAGGGTTTAGGGTTTAGGGTTTAGGGTTTAGGGTTTCGGGTTTAGGGTTTAGGGTCTAGGGTTTAGGCCTTCTGGGGTTCATTGAGTTTGTGTTGGGGCTTGGAGCTTCGGGCTTTGCATATCTTGGTGTGCGGTCGGGTCCAACCTTGATGCCAAAGCTTGCGCACGAATAATATGTATTAGTATGAATATTGATATGAATATGAATATGAATATGAATATGAATATTAGTATTCATATTAACATATGAATATCATGATCTTTCTACATGTTGCAACTATGAGGCGCACGAGCCTTTAGACACCATGCTGGATGCCAGCAAGGCCTTTGATGGAAAAAACCGATGGCCTTCATGCTCGCAAAACGCTTGGGTGTCGTCAGCCCTAAAGCCTAAATCCTAAACCCTAAACCCTAAACCCTATTGAGTTTTTGGGAGAAATTCCACACAAGTGCGGCCCTGGGTTCTTCTGGCTAGGGAAATTGAGCACCGGGAAAAGGGCAAGATGGGGACTCTCACATTTCTTGGAGGAGGGTGTTCTTCAGGAAATAGCCGATCATAAGTCGACTTCTGCCCCTACCGATAACTATTCCAGGTACAACCTTTCATAAGGACCCACTGAGGCCTCATCAGCTCTTAAACCCCTGCGTGCGGGCGTGCAATGCCACTGCATGGGTTTAAGGGTTTAGGATTTGGGGGTTGAGGGTTGCGGGATGCAAGTTTGTGGTACTATACTTTGAAAGGAGATTTTTTTTTAATGTGTATGCTTATGTAACCCTTACACACCCAACACGCCCCACGTGAGCGTAGCATGTCCCGCCGCTCTTGACCGCTTAAGTCCCTAAAGCGATGGAGATGATTTGGGATCTTCCCCCTTATACCAACAGTCCTTCATAGGGAAGACAATCGGGGGTACTATACGGTTTAGGGGTTTGGGGTTTGGGGTTTAGGGTTTAGGGTTTAGGGTTACTCCCGATTAAGGACTGATAGCAAAAGGTTGAACATCCCAAGAGATGATGGTCAAAAGTGGCTAAGATTACCCCTAAGCCCTAAACCCTAAACCCTGAACCCTAAACCCTAAACCCTAAACCCTAAACCCTAAACCGCGGCATCGTCCTGTCTGCAAAGGTGCTCTCTTCTTTCACGCTCAACCCATCGCTTCCTCGACGGCGGAAGGGCCTTCGAAATGCAACCCAAGGTGTGAAATTCGAGAGCGTTCACGGCCTAGGGTTAGGGTTTGGGGTTTAGGGTTTAGGGTTTAGGGTTTAGGGTTTAGGGTTTAGGGTTTAGGGTTTAGAGTTTAGGGTTATGGGTATCGAGTTGTTGGTGGTTTCAGTGTTTATGGAGCTTTCTCCAGCGCTTGAGGGATTTTGGGTTTACGCTTTGGGGGTTTAGGGGGTTTAGGGTTTAGGGTTTAGGGTTTAGGGTTTAGGGTTTAGGGTTTAGGGTCTAGGGTCTAGGGTTCAGCAGTTCATGTACTAGGCGAGCTTTTTCGTCATGTGTTGGAGAAGTACCCACCCACGCAGAGAATCCCACAACATCATGCACATCTAAACTTACCATTTTCAGCTGCACCCTAAACCCTAAGCCTTGAGCCAAAAACTCTCTACCCATAAACCCTAGGCCCTGAACGCTAAACCCTGTGCCCCGAAACCCAAAGCTCCATAAACACCGAAACCCTGAAATCCTGAAACTCCATTTTACATTGGGACCCAGCAAGGGCGCTGGAACGCGAGCACCCTGAGCCGTACCCCCTAAACCCTAAACCCTCGCTTGGACGGGTAGAGATATCGCAGCAGGTGACTAGGTCTCAAATTCAGAGTGGCCTTGTAAAGACCCTGGTTCTCTAGCAGCGTCCCGCAAACACGATCGTTTTTGACAAGGTCTGTGTGAGGCGTTTACTGATCAGATTCCCCCAAACCGTTGAACCTAATCCTGCAGTTTCACTCTGTGTTCCGTGGATCCTGCGTGAAACAAACTGAGCTGCTTCCCCCGCTAGTGCATGCATCTCGACCACCTCATCTTGGTGCCAAGATAGAACACAGCCAGGAGCTCATTCGTCACGAGTGAACTCATCAGGGGAAGATGAGAGCATAGCTCGGATACGTGAGTTCAGCAAGCCCTGCGAGGTGCAACGCCAAGTGCTGCAACGTACCTGCATAAACCCTGCGCTTCTGCTTTGGCTGCGTGTCTGTTGAATACAACTGTAAGCTAATCGGTCGTGTACACTCCTTGGACGGAAGCAAACTAGGCTTGGGGGCGGAAAAGAATGTACTCCGTTGTGAAATCAGGGGCAGATTCGCCGCGAAACCCAACGATCATGGGTCCGATCAGCTTGACTGCATCACAAGAGCTCTCAGACCACCGATAGGCCATCTCCACCAATGATGAAGCCATCGTCATAGCGCCTCCAGGCGATCAACACCACGCCAACCAAGGCCAAGGGCACGGTTAAATTCACGATGGCGGCGAAGATGTTGGCCATGATGGGGATCATTCTCGGACGCTTTTCTGGGGCAATTGGCACGGTTTGTGCGGCAACCGTCCTGCGATATCGCCTCTTCAGCTTGGGGTCTGCATCCATGATCCGGTTGTCGAGGTCAAAGATGAAGTAGAGGGACACAGCCGTCATCGCCACGTTGGCAATGCGGCCCGTGAAGGTGGCAACCTTCAGAAACATGGCAAGCTCAAGCAGAACGGACATCACGACGTTCAAGAGCATCGACACATTGCACCAGAAATACTCGTTGAAGCTAGCTGATTTGTCTGAAAGCTCGGGATGTTGAAGTTGCTGGTACGCCGTGCCGACGCCTCCCTTTAAGCTTCCGAAGGCCTGCTCCACCCCCTCGGACAGTCCACCCAGTCCGGCCAGAGGCTGCTCGGATGCCTGTGACGATACGGACGACCGTCTGCTTGCTGGCCTGTCGCCATCACTTGGATTGTCATACGAGAGGATGTACATGTTCGCCTCTGCTCCATGAAAGATGTGGCGGACGCACTTTTGTGCAAACATAGAAGAAAGGGTGCCTAAAGCAGTGACCATCGCCAAGAAGGTTCCACCGTTGGCCAAGAACCACAGGGGAGACTTGACCCCCAGACACTGCCATCGCTTCAGCGTGTTCGTGACGATGTTGTAAGGTATCCAAATCTGCATGTAGGCCACAATCGAGGCCCTCAAGGCGTACCCGAGCCAGGTGACATATCCGATGATTCCAGGATGGAGAACTGCCAGCACGCGGTAGATGTTGCCCGGGGCAATGAACTCCGGCGACATGGGGTCCAGCCGAGCCTACAGGGTTTGTGCGAGGGCTTCAGCACTCACTTACATGTTTATGTCTGTGAGAACCAATGGCCATCGCAACGCATGCTCCTACCGTGCAGGCGTACAAGCGCTCCCTTCTTTGCACAGTGTTTGGGTGGTTGCTGCCTTTCCATCGAAGGACCTACACCTTCTGCGGCATTCGTTCAAAAACTCGGGTCGCCTTCCCCACTAATCTGAGCGTTGGAATTCGAGTTTGGCTTTGCTCTGGCCCGTCAGGTGTGTCCAATTTGCTTCAAGGCCGATGGAGCCTATTTGCTGAGGACGCAGCAGCTGGGCTCTGCCTGCGGGCGTCTGCCGCCCCCACTCGCTCCCGGTGCCCCGCCCGGAAAGGTCAATGACACCACCAGTCGCTTCCTCCCAGAGCCAGGCTGGTCTCTGCCCTCATTCGCCCTCTTCGCGATGGGGCGTCCCCCTGCAAACGCCCGGCGAGGGCTTTCTTTAAAGCCTTTTCTCACGCCAAAGGCTATGGCGCTATCTTGTTGATGAACATCCTGTTTATGGAGTCTCCATCAGAGGACTCTGTAATGTTCCAAACCTTTTGGAGCTCCCTACCCCCCAACTTACAGCTGCCTTGCACAAACAGGCTGCTGCCTAGACCTATACTCTTAGCTGGCCCTAAGGTCCTAATTCTTTCGGTTAGCCCTCAGCCTCTGCAGAAAACCTGGCATTCCGGCACAGGATGCTGATGCTTGCAATCCTCTTCGAAGTTACTCGTGCCAATTCCGACCTTGTGTCTTCCCTCATGTCGAGTCAAGAACGCGCCACCCAGAAGTTTACAGGTTTTGGAGTGACGACCCTACTCTGCAGGTTTCTTTGAAGTTCTCTTTCGAGGAATTGTGTATACAGTCTTCTTTTCAGTTTCCTAAGGGAGGGAGTACAACAAGCTCCCCCGCGCTTTGGGTACGTCAGAAAAGGACTTGTTGTTACGTAGATTATGAACTAGAAACGAGAGGGGTGGAACTTAAACTAAGTCTCCACTTCTCTACTTCTCCGATTTGCGAAGAATGAACACAAGAAACAAAAGAAGAAACGAGGGGGGTGGAATTTAAGTTAAGTCTCTACTTCTTTACTCATTCTCCACGTTTCGAACACTGAACACAAGAAACAAAAACAGGAAACGAGGGGGGTGGAATTTAGAGTAATTCTCTACTGATGTCGAATAAAGAACACAAGAAACAAAAACAAGAAACTTAAGTTTAGGAGGGTTCCTACCTAAATTTGACGATGACACAGGAATTGTCTGTGAATCATGGATTCCGGTAGTTACAGGTTCAGGGGCAAGGTTTGGAGATTGTTCGTGGTCTTTGGCGTTCCTTAGGGAAGCCACGTGTTCCTAACACGTGTGTCAGGGGCGTTCCCCACTCGAGCCTTGCCCGTTCCAGACTCGCCTCCCAGCCACTCCCAGCACACACCTTTCCTGCTCCCCAAAACGCACCACACCCGCTCCCAACACGCCAGCGCCCAACACATCCCAGTTGCAACCCACACGACTGACATTCCGCTGGGACAGGTCGGGTCGTGGCCGTGGCTGAGATTGTGCCACTTTGTGGTTTCGCCGCACCGGGGGTGGAAGAACTGGCGCAGATGCTCGACATCACCCGCAGCCCTGGTCGGATCTTCGTTGCCATGGGGCAGCTGTTTTCAGTCCTCTGTGTGGCTGAACTCGACGGTCTCGCGGCGAAGGTCTCGGCGCCATGGAAGGAAACGGACATGGCTGACACAGGGGTCACAGGGGGTTGCTTGCGGGGAAACAAAAACAGAGGGCAGAAACGCGACGGATCCATGGATCCCAAGACCTGGCGACCAAAACGGCCCAAGCCATTTTGGCATGGTGTTCCAGAATGTTCCAGACATATGCCTTGCGAGTCCCCCAAGCTACACTGCAAGAATCAACTCTATCTCCAAAGAAACAACACAGCTTGAGAGCTCAAAGAGGCCTTCAGCTCCTCCTCGCGGCCGGGGTTCTCCGCATCACTGTCATCCTCATCATCCTCATCATCAAAATCGGAGGCAAGCTTGCCAGAAAGGACTTTTTGCACTTTGCTGACGAACCTCTCACGGTTGGACGGGATGCAGAAGGTGGAGCACAACCAGCCTATGACGCCAAGGATGATGAGGAGAATGGTGTACCGGGTCATTTCCCTCTCGGTGTGCCTGACGGTATCCACTAGCACTGCTGAACCTGGCACGTGATACTCCCCAAAGAATGTTTCGAACTCGATGCCCTCCGGCGGCACGGACAAGTTGCCACAGGGAAGGATCAGCTGGTAACTGAAGAATAATAAGTCCAAGCAGGGCACTTCCATAAAGAGGACCTTGTTCTCGATCTCTGCTGGATCGATGTACGGGCCCACGTGGGGATGCCGGGGGTCCGTGTTGTCAACATCCGTCAAGGTATGGTTTGTCCCCTGAATTGTCTGGGTTGGGTCAAGATCAAACTCCTGCGGCGCCGGTGAAGGACTCAGAGCCACCTGCGGCATCTCGTCCAGCCTCCTTGCTGCCCGCACCTGGCAACTTCGCGCTTCAACGCTAGGGCCCGAAGACTTTCTTGTTTGGGATCTTTTTCGGGCACTCTGAAAATTGGAGCTTGGGCTGATTCAGGGTTTGGGGTCAGTAGCCCCCCGGCCTGGGAAACTTGCCGGAGGTTCAAGGCACTGCCGTCGAGGAGATCTTGGTTGACATACTCCACGGCGACGAGGATCAATGCCACGCATCCCCACCATGGCAGGCTCTTCTCCATGGCGGCGTGTTTCTGGTCGCAGGTTGGAAAAGGCAAACCGAAAATCTGCCTGCTGCATGCAGAACGATTCACAGCTGCTCACAGCAGAAGCCTTTGTCGACACATGTGGAACATTTGGTCCTCAATGTGCCTCGCAGCCTGAAGCCCTCAAAACAAGTCTTCAGAGCCGGAATCCCCAACCAAGCCGAACCCCTCCTAAAAGTTACTATGCTCGTTTAGGGTTTAGGGTTGAGGGTTTATTAGCACTGCTGGAATCGAAGGGTTTCGTAGGGTTTATGTAGGGTTGATAGGGGGGTTTATGTAAGGTTTATGTAGGGTTGATATAGGGTTTCTAGGGGGGGTTATGTCGGGTTTATGTAAGATGTACCTAGGGTTTAGAGGGGGTTTATAAACAGTGTTTATAGGATTTGCGTAGGTCTTTGATAGGGTTTATATAGGGTTCACATAGGGTCTTTTTGGAGTTTATTTTGGGGTTCCAGGGTTTTGGAGCTTGTACGGTTTCTAGGGTTCAGGGTTGATAGAGTTTAGGGCTTGTTGGTTTAGGCTTAAAGGTTTACGATTCTACTGGGTTTCGGCTTTAGGGGCTTCTGAGGTTTGTAGGATTTCGAGATTTAGGGGCGAGGGTGAAGCAGGTTCCAGCAGCGACAGCGGGTTTAGCCCGGGGCCGCCTCTCCGTTGCTCACACCTTCGTGGCATCGAAGGGCTTGCCAATCTTTGGGATGCCGAGACCGAGGTAAGCCTCAGCGGCAAGGTCTCGGTGTGGGATTGGGATCTACTAGAGGATTTTCGAGGGTTCACGGTCTCTCGGGATTTCAGATGGTTGCTAGTGCCCTCAACTGGATCTCTAGGGGCTTCCGGTACTCTTCTGTTCGGCGCATGAGGGATCACTGGGATCTGCGAGGATACGATTGCAAGAGCCCGCCACAGAAAGGAAACAGGATGCTGGTGGTCTGGCTAATGAAGCGGGGGAATCTGGCTTGCAAAGGGAATGTGCTGCCGAGTCACTCGGTCGGATTCGTTTCGGACCTGGCAACTCCGCGAAACCCCTAGAAGCCAGTGGAAACGTCAACCCCGACCCCGAAAATGTTGAACTGCTGTTCGGGGACTCAATCTCGGTCAACACACACACAATCTGGATGTTAAGTAAGAATATGCTCTTTCCTTGTTGCTACTTACAGGAACAAAAATCCAGCTGGCAATGAAGAGAGCTCAACGAGTGTACCAACACCCATCAAGCCGTCGCTGGAAAACCCTGCTGTGGGTGGGCTGAAGGTTTCGCGCTCTCTCTAAGAGCGCTCTTGCTCTCTCTCTCTCTCCCTCTCTCTCTCTCTCTCTCTCTCTCTCTCTCTCTCTGCACCTCCTGGACGCTGGAACGGATCTCCTGTGCCTTCCTGCGCGCCGGATTCGGGGCTTTTGATTCGGGCCCGCACTTTCGAAGGTTCATGGCACAGAGCAGGGCGGTAGAACTTGTAAAAAGCCCGTTCTAACACATAACACAAGCTGCGTCGAAACCGCTTCCGACCTCCAAGTAGAGCTTTGGTGGCTCTAAAGACAAGAACCCATCCTGTCCCAAGTCTTCAGCTCGGTTCGTTGGGTTTCGGGTTTCGGGGTTTAGGGGTTTAGGGGTTTAGGGGTTTGGGGGCGAAGAGGTTTAGGGGTTTAGGGTTTAGGGTTTAGGGTTTAGGGTTTAGGGTTTAGGGTTTAGGGTTTAGGGTTTAGGGTTTAGGGTTTAGGGTTTAGGGTTTAGGGTTTAGGGTTTAGGGTTTAGGGTTGTATCGGCCTGGCAGATAGCACGGCCTTCTCAGCGGCGTCCTCACGGTCAGGCTTAGATGTTTGAACCCTGTGACAAGGATTGGAGAGGACCCGTGGGCACAGGAACGGTAAACCCTCAACCCCAAACCCGAAACCCTAAACCCTATACCCTAAACCCCAAACCTGAACCCTAACAGGAGAAGGGTTCATGCACTCTACGGCCACCCAACGCTAGCAATCAGACCCCAAACCGCAAGGCCCGAATTGTCAATCCATTCCCTAAATCCTACACCCGCAGCCATGAGCCAAGACCCAAAGCCCAGAACACCTAAACACCAAAACACCCAAAACCCCGACACGGCCCCCAACCCCCGAATTTAGGTAGCCAGAAACTCCGTACATTGCAAAGAAAGGAATCCAAACAAGACGGTATTGGGGTCGAAAAAACCCTAAAGCCCTCCATCCTGAAAGGACCCCAACACCCTTCAGCAGGAGGAATCCTGCGCCTGGGAGACGCTCCGCAGTGCCTGGGGATGAGTTGCTTGTTGGGGTGACATGGGTGGCCCGTAGGGTTACTGTTTCTTTTTGTGGTTTTTGTGGGTCTCGTGCGGTGGTCTCAGGGGTTTTGATCGCTAGGGGGCTGTCAAGTCGAACCAAGTATCCCAGCAGGCTTCCCAAGACTCAGCCCTGCGCCGTACACAGCCTCAAAGACCATACAGTTTGCAGCGTTTATGCAAGGGCCCCCGCCCGGCCCCCTTCCCAGCTCGGAGAATTCTTGCAGCTGGCGTGTCTTCTGGGCTGAGGGGAATTCCATGGCTGAAGAAACCTCAGAAACTTTTTGCAGCTGGCGCCCCGCCTCCATGACTTGCAGCTGGGACATCTTTGCATCGTCCCGGGCTCTCACCTGGGTCCACGGAAATTGAGGGTTGAGGGTTGAGGGTTGAGGGTTGAGGATTTAGGGTTTAGGGTTTAGGGTTTAGGGTGCCGCTCTTTTCAGAGAATGATTTTTTTTTGCTGCAAGCCTTCACTCACTCTTGCTGACCTTGGTGCTGCAATGATTCCTGTTGCCTCTTCCTACAAGGATTACTCATTACACAAGGAGACATCTGCAGGGCTCTCCTACTTCCGAGTCCCTCAAGTCAGCTGCGGCCACTTCCGGGAACCCGCACCCGGGCGTGGGCTGCCAGCGACAGCGCGCCGAGCTCCTCCTGACTCGGCCGGAGGGGCGGCCTCGCCAGACGCGCCGCACGTCAAGGGGGCCCCTCCTTCTCCAGGGGGGCCTTCGTTTTGAGGGTTCCTTCTTACAAGGGCGAGGGCCGCCAAGACTAGGGTCAGCCAAGGGCTTTGAGGCGGTTTCTTGTGGCGTTGGGGGTCTGGGATTCAAGGGTGGTTGGGGTTGCGTTTGCAGGCTCCCAACTCTGGCAATACGGTCGTGTGAGTGAACATGCCCGAAACATCCCGAAACCCTGAGCCCGAGATTCTGACACCTGTATTCTCCAAACCCGACAGCGTAAACCTCTGAACCCAAAGTCCAGGCCAGTATTGAAACCCTAAACCCTAAACCCGAAACCCTAAACCCTAAACCCTGAACCCTAAACCCTAAACCCTAAACCCTGATGTTTGCCATGGTTTCCCGGGACTTGCCGGGCCTGTGAAGGTTCGGGCTGATAGGGTACCGTCAACCTTCGACGCCTCTGCCAATCCTGCAAGTAAACCTCTCATCAAAAACCCTACATAGACCTAGGGTTTAGGGTTTAGGGTTTAGGGTTTGGGGTTTAGGGTTTAGGGTTTAGGGTTTAGGGTTTAGGGTTTGGGGTTTGGGGTTTGGGGTTTGGGGTTTGGGGTTTGGGGTTTGGGGTTTGGGTTTAGGGTCTAGGGTCTAGGGTCTAGGGTCTAGGGTCTAGGGTCTAGGGTTTAGGGTTTAGGGTTTAGGGTTTAGGGTTTAGGGTTCAGGGTTCAGGGTTTAGGGTTAGGGTTTAGGGTTTAGGCTTAGGGTTTAGGGTTTAGGGTTTAGGGTTTAGGGTTTAGGGTTTAGGGTTTAGGGTTTAGGGTTTAGGGTTTAGGGTTTAGGGTTTAGGGTTTAGGGTTTAGGGTTTAGGGCTCAGGGTTTAGGGTTCTGAGGCCTTCCGGGTTGAGGGTTGACTGCAGGAGAAGCGCCAGGCGAAGCCAAGGCTTCGAAACTGGCCTTGCGTGCGTGTGAAGGGGGCCGGCCAAGTTCGCCTTGCGACGTCCAGGACTTGGCCCAGAAGGTGGCACCGGAGCATTAGAAGGTTCCTAGAAAGAACCTTCTTAACCTTGAACTTGGGATGTTCCCCCTGAAACTAAAAGTCCTCAATAGGGATTATGATGGGGGGTTCCTAGAATCCCTGTTAAGGACTGTTAGCATAAGGGGGAACATGCCAACCTTGAACCCTCAACCTTGAGCCCTCGACTTAAAAAAAAAACCTACGGCACCAGCAGACACCAGCCGCTGCAGTTTTTTGCATCACACGTGGAGAACCCTCAGGCCCTAAGGACCCCCTTCCGACCAACTCATTCCCAGGATTCCGCTGGGTCCCAAACATGTCGCAAACATGTCGCAAACATGTCACGCAAGAACGCTAACCCATCGCTGGTCACCAATGGAACACTACGGAAAGCTTAGGGGCAAGAGTCCCAGAAAACACTCACAGAAATTTAACAAAAGCGTAGCGCTGACCCACGCAAGACAAGAGGTACCTTGCATCAGCTACTCCTAGTGTCACACCCTTGAAGATAAACGCCGCACCTGCGCCCTACACCAGAAACCCAGACCCCAAACCCAGAAACAGCTGTCTCGGGGCTTCAAGCCAACCAAGCCCAAGGCCCTGCGGTTTCAGAATCCCCTTCGCTCTCTAATCGTCAGCACGGAGCGGCCTCTTCCCCTGGTGGTACAGGGCTAGCGCCTGCAGCGCCGCCATGTTCCAGGAAGCTGCTTTGCGCTCCCATCCGGAACACTTAAAGTCTTGTGGCCTCAAAAAGCCTTATGGTCTCCAACTTACGCCGCAAGCCCCCTCAGACTCCAAACAACCCCAATTGTCAAGAAGTGTTGGAAACCTACACACCTGCAGCTAGACCGTCCTGATGTCGAAGACTGAAAAGGTTTTGTTTCGCATGGAAAAGCTATGGTCTAGACCTCCCAATTGCAATTTACCGGTGCTTCTGGGTCATAAACGAAGCAGCTAAACGCATGTATGTGGTGGGAAATGTACTAAAGCCAAACGCACCGCTGCACTAAAGCCAAATGCGCGGCTGCAGCAAACCAACACGGATGCCTCTTGTGTGTTTGCAGGAGTGCAAACAGTTGGCTAGAGCGGCGGCGGCGAATAAGCGTATCTACTGCGGCACCGCCACAACTGATGCTCGTCAGCACGCCTCGGGATGCACTTCTGTACTTCAAGCATGCACAATGTATCATCATATACGAGGCCAAGATGAGCGAGTTCGACGAGGAGCTGGACGGACTCATGAGCAGATTCCTGCCGAACAGCTCGGAGGAAGTCAAGTCAACCCTTGGAAGCCGACGCCCCAAAAATAAGGGCCGCGGCAAGGGATCTTCAGATTCTCCTCTGGATCAAGAACAGATCCTCAGACTCCTGGTAGTGATAATGCTTCAGGGAGTTCAACCATCTCTAGACGGACACCCAGTATTCCTCATATTCCAAGTTCATGGAGGCGACAATCATCAAAACCCATGCTTGCAATGGCTCTAGGAAGTTGCAAATGGGTCTAGAAGGAAAGAAAATCAAGTGAGTGAGTGACTGAGTGGACGGCCTGGAGTGCACTCCGGCCAACGGAAACGTTCCCTCCAGCCATCTCTTCGCCCCTCCGCTTGCGTCATTGGGGAGATCCAGCAAGAGTTCGACGCTCCGAGCCCCTCACTCCGAGCTGGGAAAAATGCCACCCGAACCTCCATGGGCCCGCCCCCCCAAGCTGGACTTGGATTTGGGCACTAGGCAAGACAGCCCACTTCACAGGAACAGAAACTCTTCCCCTTGCGACCCTCACAAAGGTATTAAGCTGGGGGCATGGCTCGGATCGTACTAAACACGCACACACGCACCGGCAGCAAGACTAAGGGAAAAAGCAAGTTCAGCCAATCCCCTTTTTGGCTGCACAAACTCCAACAGTATCCTCTGTTCAACAGTGGAGAACTCAAAGCATGCAACGACACGTGTACCTTCTAAACATCAAGTTCAGCTTCCAAGCTCCTTTGTCACACCTCTAAACAATCATGATCACTCAGTCCGACTCTCGACGGAGGCGGCAAGCTTTGTTTTTGAGCAGACGCCCCTTTTGCACATCAGCAGCACAGTGGGCCGGTAAATTGCGACTAGCAGCACCAACGCAGAACAGAAGCCAAGAGAAAAACGCCCTCGCTCAGAACGATGTTGCAGTTCCGTCATCCACGGCTCAAACGAAGCGCAGTATCGCAAAATGCAATTCGGCTGTTTGTGCAGTTTTTGCCAGGTCAGCAAAACCTCCGTCATTATTCGGTAGATGTAATTTGGCAATTTCCATGTTGTTGACTTGTATACAGCACAGACATTCAAAAAGCATGGCCTGACGCACTTGCACTGGAAAGATTCACAAGCTGATGCTCATCAGGGTATTGCCACGTGGCACTGACGCTGAACAGCATGAGGCGGCGTGCAGCAGCACTTCTCGTTCGAGAGCAGTAGCCGCGGCCGCAGGCCTTCAGAATGGACGCAGAATCCAGCATACGAATTATGTGCAAAGCAGAAGGTCCGTGCAGTTTTTGCAGAAGGTGTGCTCGTGAGTAAGACTTGCAGTTGTAACTCTGTGACTTCCAAATCTGGGGTCAAAAAATCTGGGCACAGTCTGGAAAGAGCAATTGAAGAATTGATTGCTAAATCCAAACCCTGAATCACCAACCCGGGGAATAATAGCAAATGGAAGCGCCTATGACGCTTAATTATTTTGAGCTCATTTTTGGCAGTACTTCGATGCGAAAATGACAGTTTTGAGCAGGGTATGTTCGCTTTGGCGCCCAGAGCCCTGGATTTTGACCCCTCGCTCTAGGACACCGTGGGCGTCACGAAATTTAAGGAATTTGTGAGGGACCCCATAGCTCTGGGTTGCTTTTGCAGAACCTTCACCAAAATCCTTCGCTTTGGCGCTCAGAGACCTGGATTTTGACCCCTCGCTCTAGGACACCGCGGGCGTCACGAAATTTAAGGAATTTATGAGGGACCCCATAGCTCTGGGTTGCTTCTGCGGAACCTTCACCAAAATTTCGCTTTGGCGCCCAGAGACCTGGATTTTGACCCCTCGCTCTAGGACACCGTGGGCGTCACGAACTTTAAGGAATTTATGAGGGACCCCATAGCTCTGGGTTGCTTCTGCAGAACCTTCACCAAAAAATGCTTCGCTTTGGTGCCCAGAGCCCTGGATTTTGACCCCTCGCTCTAGGACACCGTGGGCGTCACGAAATTTAAGGAATTTATGAGGGACCCCATAGCTCTGGGTTGCTTCTGCAGAACCTTCACCAAAAAATGCTTCGCTTTGGCGCCCAGAGCCCTGGATTTTGACCCCTCGCTCTAGGACACCGCGGGCGTCACGAAATTTAGGGAATTTATGAGGGACCCCTAGCTCTGGGTTGCTTCTGCAGAACCCTCCCCAAAAATCCTTCGTTTTGGCGCCCACCTTCTGAGCCATTTGCAATACTTTCTTGCTTAAACCCCTGATCTGCGTTTCGTACCGTTTGGCTCTGGCGTGCTGAGAAGGAAAAGAGGTACCATTCATTTCATTTAAATCTTCATACATCTTCAAATTCGCCCCCCCATGGCTGAGCTTCAGAATGTGCCTCCGCCGGCCGCTGGAAACCCTCCAGACGTGGTCGTGACCAGAAGTCGCAAGATTCGTCGCTCGCAGCAGGGCTTCACGAGGATGGGTCGAGTGTCGCGGGGACATGACGCGGCGCCCTTCCTGACCATGGACTCCTTGAGACTCTTGCAGGAAGACTTCCAAGACTTGTTGGAGACGCAGCTCCGCTTCACCATCAAGATCGTGGTGAATGCTCGCTTCTCGTAGTCTTGGACGGTGTGGAACGGGAAGAGTTTGCAGAGATCCAAGTTGCCCTTCCACCGGCCCCCTGCATGCCCCTAGCTCGTCCAGATGAAAGGTTTCGTCGCTTCCTGGCCGATGCACAATCCAGGTATGAGCACGTTGTGGAGGAGACCAACCGGAACACGAGCAGCGGCTGGGTCTTTGTCGGCATGCTGTGGATCAACATCCTCACGAGCCCAGGCGAGCTCACGGCCAACATCCCCTTCCCTGCCGGCGTTGCAGCCTTTTCAACCCCAAGAACATGGACCACAGATGCTTCGAGTGTCGTGTGAGGGCCTACTTCTACGAGGTCGGGAAAATGGACAACCGGGAACGCGCCACGGCAGCCAATTTGAAGGGCCGCCCCTTCTACGATCGACCAGCGCGCCCTGGTCCGAGGGGATCCGCCCCTGACGATCGCAAGATGGTCCCCGTAGATGCAGACTTTAGCACGCTTCCCGAGGGTCACGTGGGCTTTGGCGACATCGATCTTTTCGAAGCCGTCAACCCCCACATTGGCATCTACGTCTACAAGCCCGTCAGCACGGAGTGGTCGGCAACGGCTCCTCAGACGATGAAGCCGCTCAGGAGTCCCTCCGTCGAGAAGCCAAAGCACGAGATCCTCCTCCTGCTCCACCTCGACCACTACGTCCTGATCTATGACTTCAGCAAGGCTTCCAGTCTGCGCGGCGGCGAGCTGCCCGAAGAGTGCCGACGAGAGAACACGCGCCACTGGAACTCTTGTCACCGCTGCCAAAACAATTTCAGCTCGACGGAGAGTTTGAAGAAGCACCTGAAGTCAGGGCTCTGCAATGCTAGCGTGGCAGATCGCTTGCGAAGTCAGAGGATCAGGCTTCCCGCGAATGTTGAGGAGGAGCGCCTCTTCTACAAGCCCGGTCCCTCTGCAGAGTGGGCGGAGCTGGTCATCTACTCCGACATAGAGGTCTTCAACGACAGGTTGCAGGAGAAGGAGAACGGGAGGGTCAAGGCCTTGCAACACGAGACAGCCTCCACCTGCTACGCTGCAGTGGGTCGCTGCGGCTACGAGGTCCCGCAGCAGCACAAGATCCATTTGGACTTATGCCGCACGGACGACGTGCCCTTCGCCGTCATGGAGCGCTACCTCAGGCGGCTCCTGGATCTGGCTTTCCACTTTCAGAATTGGCAGAACCTCAACATCCCGTACGAGCTCACCGCGTCGCAGCAGGCCGAGTTTGACGCCGCCATGGTCTGTTCGCTCTGCGAGCTGCCCTTCACTTCGGACCAGAGCAGGCAGAAGGTAGTGCACCATCGGCACGGGACGGGCGAGTATCTAGGCGCCCTCTGCAACACCTGCAACCTCGCCGTAAGACGACAGAAAACGGTGCCGGTGTACTTCCACAACGGCGGGGGATACGATTTTCACTTCTTGGTCCGAGCCATAGCCCAGCTTCACCGCTATGGGAGCGCGGTCGCCATACCCTCCTACGACGAAGACGATCAAGTCGTTGAGCAGGAGTTCCAAGAGCCGGCGGAGGACGACGCGACCTTGCAAGACGACCAGGTCCCCGATCTGCACGCGCTGGGTCACGAGCCGATGGTGGGCGAACACCTGGACCTCAAGAAGCCCCGCTGCAAGGTCATGATCAAGTCCGGCGAGAAGTACCTGCAGAGACGCTACGGACCCCTGGTATTCTTGGACAGCTTCAACATCTTCCCTTCAGCGCTGGACGTTCTGACAGACGACCTGCAGAGCACTCACAAGGAGGAGCCATGGTTGTCCTTTCCGCTTCTTGCCGAGCGTCACCCCTGGCTCCAGAACCGAGACAAGAGGGTGTGGGACCTTCTTCTCAAGAAGATCCCCATGCCGTTTGAAAGCTTTTCGGGGCCCGAGTCTTGGACCGAAAGAGCCGTGTGGCCGCAGAAGTGCTACGACAGCAGTTTGAAGGGCAAGTGCTCCGACAAGAAGTACGGCGAGATCCAGGAGATCCAGGAGCATTTCCAGTTCCCGAACTTCTCCTCCTTCCACAACTGTTACTTGTACACGGACATGGCCATTGCCGACGTGGTGGAGGCGTACAGGGACACCTTCCACCAGAACTTCGGCATCGATCCGGTGCGATACGTCACCTTGGCAAGCGCCGCCTGGGACGCGATGATGAAGCGCTGCGCCCCGCGCAGGAACTCCCTGCAGCTCATCACCAACCGCAAAATCTACGACCTGGTCAAGAGCAGCATGCGCGGCGGCCTCAGCAATGCGTTCCAGCCGTACGCCAAGGCCAACAACTGCTCTGTCGTTGACTACGACGACTGCCTTCCATTGAGCTGGGTGTCAAAGTTCGATGTGAACTCGCAGTACCCGACCGTCATGAACAACCCCCTGCCCTGCGACGGCGGCTACCTTTTCGATCTCCCCTCCGAGCGAAAGGCCCGCATGAAGCTGTTCTGCGACTGCCTGCGCGAGTCGGACTTCAGGCAGAAGGACTTCGATCACAGCTACTTGGTGGAGGTCGACTACTACCTGCCCCTGGACCAGCACGACCGCGTCGACTGGGCGCCCATCACCAGGATGAGCGTCGGCACGTCCGGGATGAGCGAATATCAGCTTGAGCTCTTGGCCAAGATCATGCCCTATCTAGGCTATCACCGTCGCGAAGTCGTGCAGCTGCGACTGCTGCGCTTCTACATGGAGGTTCTCGGTGTCAGAGTCGAAGAGGTCTACAGCATCGTGCTCTTCGGCTGCAGCTGCAGGGCGTTCATGAGTCCCTTCATCCGAGAGTGCTACGAGCGCAGGCTTGAGTTCAAGCGACAAGGGCGAAAGCTCCAAGCCGACGTGGTTAAACTCACCATGAACGTGCAATACGGGAAAAGCGTCCAAAACCAGGAGCGCTCTGTTCGGTCTTGGATCTGCTTCGACGTCGAGGAGTTTGGGCGAAGAAGCGCAGGATCCCGCACCTGCACGCCAGCCCCATTGGTCACGGCGGCTTCTTCGGCGTTGTGGATGAGCTCACCCCAGCCGGTTCGCTGCTCAAGACCATGCCGCAAGTGGGAACCTTCGTGCTGGACGAGGCGAGGCTTGGCATCATGCGAAACTATTACCACATGAAGCTGGTCTTCGACGGGTGCCTGGCCAAAGCCTGCGACGAGGCGAGGCCACAGAGCGAGAGGTCGAAGGTGCAGATCATCTACACCGACACCGACAGCGTCATCGTGTTGATCCACAGCGAGATGCACCCTTCCTACCAGCTGGCCCTGGAGAACTTCAACCCCGAGTCGCCGTGCTTCTGGGACATCCTGGGCGACATCAAGGACTACGAGAAGGCGATGGTGTACCTGCAGAGCATTGGAGTCCTTGGAGTCGAGCGACGCGGTTGCTTGGGCGGTTTTGGCGACGAGAATGCACCCCTCACCATGATGGAGGCGGTCTGCTTGGGGCCTAAGTCCTACAGCGAGCTGCTCACAGGCGGCGGGGGCGAGCTGCACCACAAGAACAAGATCAAGGGCATCGACAAGGACAACCGGAAGACCCTGACCCACGACGAGTACAGGGAGGTCTTGACCAAGACCGGGCTGGGCAGGAGCATCAAGTCCCACCGCTTCGAGAGCAAACAGCACGTGGTGCATCTGGTCGAAAACATCAAGACCGGCCTGCGCGCCTTCGAAGACAAGAACTACAAGCTCCGCTACGACAGGTCCAGGCCCCACGGTCACTGGCGAAACTTGCCGGAGCCGCTGTCCTACTTCTTCGACAAGCTTCTCTACGGCGAGATCGGCGAGGATGGCCAGAAAATCATCGACAGCTTTCTGAGGCCACGCGGCTACGTGAAGATGGACTTCAAAGACGATCGGTGGACTGCACAGTTGCGAGGGCTCAGTTGCGTTGACTAGCCTGTACAGATTTTTGCTAGTCTAGCAGGTACAGCTATGGAGCCACGGGCCCCACCGGAAAAGCCCTGTCTGCTGCAGCTCTGGCGTTTCGCATTTCTCTGGATTGCACCGGAAACCTCCGCTCCCTCTGCCCCTCTACCTTTCTGACGTCTCGGGCCAGTAGCGGTCCTCCCTGCCAGCCCTGTAGCGTAAACATGACGCCGTTGCTCGTGTACTCTACCCCGTCCACCCGGTACGCCCTCTCCGACCAAGCCGTTTCGGTGACGCGGTAAGACCCCCTGCTCTCTATTGGTTTCACCCTGACGCGGACGCAGTCGCCCTCGCCGATTTCCGGCTTCGCTGGAGCATTGTGCTTAGCGTTCCTGCGCATGTTCCTGAGGGCTTTCCTAGCGCTGTGAGGGTCGTTGTACGCTTGATTAGGGGTCACGCCTGTCGTAGCATGCCTTTTCTCATTGTGTTGAGCTAACACGTTGGGCAGTAGCAGGTTCCACTGGTTCCTTCTGCCCACGCCTACGCTAAGTCTGCGAAGCAAGGCCTTTTTCAACGTTCTAATGGCTCTTTCGGCCACTGGCGCATGCCCCCTACTGACTATTTTGTCCACGTCCCAGTGATCTAACTTGTCACTTCTCCTTAAACTGCTTCTTAAACTCAGAGCCGTCGTCACTGTAAACAGAAGCCGGAATCCCTAGATCGGTGATGACCTTGTCCCATGCTGCTGCTGCCGTTTGTGCGGTTTTGTCCTTCATGGGCGGAGCTTCTTCGTAAACGTATCTATAGCTACCAACATATAGGGATAGGGGCCTTTTGCAAAGCTCGTCATATCGGCACATAACTATTGAAGCCCCGTTGAGGTCTGTCCTCCTGCACCGTGAGGCCCTGGATGAACTCTCGAACCTCCTGCAGCGTCACACGTGGGTCCCTAGCACGAGCCTGCTTGAGAGTGTCTGCGATGCTGCCAAAACCACTTCTAGGATCCTCGTACACCTGCTTCATAAGAGCTCTTCGGGCTTGTTCGCCTGCTTGCACTGCTGCTTCTTGAGCTGCCATTTTGCTTTCAACGTCTTGTTAGCCGCCTCGTTCATCGTGCCCGCGCCATGTCGTGTTGAAAAACGTGGTAAACATCATGGCTCACTTTTCCTACCACGCTCTAAAGGCAAAACAACTTTTCTCGCTTTCGACTCTTGAGCCTAAGCCTCCGGTGTCAAACTCGTTCTGCTCAGACTCAACATGCCTTAGGGCATTTGGTGTCTTTCCTACTGCACCCATTCACTGTACCTGGATACATGCTGTACACTTAACACCCCGCCTCGGAACAGATCGAAGGCTTTAGGGCGTTCTCTTTCCTGCAGTGATTCTCACTGCTGTGCCAAAAGACGAAGAGCTGTTTCGGACTTCAAGTGTACTGAACTGGGGACATTCGTCTCCTCTGGTCCAAGGTCTTTTACCCAGTTCTTTCTGCTTTGTTTCTTGAAACATGCATAAACTCCTAACCTCGAATTTCTAGTTACACGGGCTTGTCTTAGAGTCCTCATCTTGTGAGTCTCAGCCCTGTGGCCAGCCTATGGCTCTGGTGTGGTCTTCTCTTTTACCTAACCATCTTCTTTCTTCAACTGTTCTTGCCTCTACCTGGCTGCACCTTACACTCCTAGTCCTGCTTCGTGAAACTCTTCGTGAAACTACTTTCTTCTTGGTGAAACTCGTGTGAATATCACAAGGCGTATTGGGGTCCTTGCGTTGTACCTACTTTGTACTTCGTGCAATGTTCGGGGTGCTCGAACTTCTATGTACACAGCTTCAGAAAATCTATACATGCTTCACGCTGCGTTCAATCGTCACCCTTCTTGATGCTTCTTGCTGGCTTCTTCTTCTTACCAGCCTTTCTTGCCACCACCACCATACTTCCATTTCCCTTTTCCTTGGTACTTCCCTTTCGGGGCGTAGTGGTAGTAGGCGTAGTCTGCGTCCCAGTAGTTCTGGCTCCAACCGTCGTCGGCGTACCAGTCCTGCTGCTGGTGCCAACTTTCTTGCTGCCAGTCTTCTTGCTCTCGACTTCTTCTTCCTCGCTTTCCTTCTTGTTGCACCTCAGGCTCATCTCTCTCTCTTCTTATTTCTGTGGGGCTCTCCCACCTTCCTGTCTTCTTGAAGTGCTTGGTCACGAGGTTCCAGTCTTCGGCACCTTTGATCTGCGCTCCTTTCACCTGCGCTGATCCTTTCTGATCGAGCCGAACTGCTCGATACTCATTCGTGTCTTTGCAATACTCCCAGATCCAACCACAATCTGTGAACGTGACCACATTCCATCTGCCCTTTGTGTTCTTGCTACCTTTCTCTCCTCTCTGCGGTGGTTCTCGGGGCTGCTCTTCTTCTTGCTCTCTTCTTTCTTCTGTTCCTGCTGCTCCTCCTTCTTCTTTTCCTTCTTCTTTTCCTTCTTCGCTCGACTCTGCAAAGTCGGGCGGTGGTTTGTATCCTTTCTTTGTCCACCAGTTTGGATCATACCACTGGCCTTTGATTTTGACCCACAATGCTCCTTTGTGGATCTGCCACACATTGCCTTCTGCATCCTTCTTTCCTTCTGCTCCTAGTGTGGGCTTTTCATCTTCAGATCCTGAATCTTCAACTTCAACGACTTCAATCTCCTTCATTCCTTCTCGTTCCTTCTCTGCCTGAATTTCTGCCTGGGTCTTTCGCTCCTGTGCTTCCTTCAACTCCTTCTTTGCCTTCTCCTTCTCTTCCTTCGTCGCTTCTTGGGCTTCCTGCTCCTTTCTTCTCATCTCCTCATAGGCCTCTAACTTTGCTCTTTGCTTCTTCGCCTTCTCCTTCGCGATTGCCTCGTTCCTTTCATCCTCCTTCTCCTGTGCTTCCTTCTCCTCTTGTGCTTTCCTTTCCTGTGCTTCCTTCTCCTCCTGTGCTTTCCTCTCTTGTGCTTCCTTCTCTTCTTGGGCCTTCCTTTCTTGTGCTTCCTTCTCCTCTTGTGCCTTCTTCTCCTCTGCCTTCTTCTTCTCCTCTTGTGCTTTCCTTTCCTGTGCTTCCTTCTCCTGGGCATCTTTCTCCTCCTGGGCCTTCTTTGCCTGCTCCTTTTGTCTCATTGCTTCGGCTTTCTTGTCTGTCTCCTCTTTCCTCCTTTGTCGTTCTGCTGCTTCAATCTTTTCCTCGTTGGCTTTCCTGATCTCTGCGTTGATCTTGTCTTCCTCCTCTCTTCTTTGTTCTGCTGCTTCTAGCTCTTCTGCTTCTCTCTTTCTCTCCTCTGCTTCTTTCTTCATGTGCTTCGTGATCATGTCGTAGTCCTTCTTCAACTGCTCTCTCACCTCTTTGGCATCTTGCTTGTACGCTTCTTTCTGCTTCTCTAACTCTTCCTTCTCTTTCTCCAAAGCTTTCTTCTCTGCTTCAGCTTCACTGAACTTCGCAACCACCTTCGCTTTCATAACAAATGCTTGGTCACGATCTTCTTCTGCTTCCTTCGCCTTCTCTTCTGCTTCTTCTCTCTTCAACTTTTCTTTCTCCAAGGCACGATCTTTCTCTTCCATCTTCGCGATCAGCTCGTCGAACTTCTTCTTCACGGTCTCGTCGTCTTCGAGGACACCTTGCGAGCTCTTCTCTTTGTCTTCTTCTTCTTTCTTCTTTGTGACTTCACCTTCAGGCTTCTTTTCTTTGGGCTTCTCTTCTTTCTCACCCTTCTTCTCTTTCTTCTGGTTCACTGCCAAGTAGACAATGATCGTCACCAGAACAACAATCACAGCCATGCACACGGGCATCAACATCTCAAGCTCAGGCATGCTCGTGAAAACATGTGAAAACTTCATGCTGCTGTTGCTGCTGTGACCATGTAAAACTTCTTGTTCACCTTCTTGAAGTTCTTGAGGTGGCTCTTGAGCTGTAGAAAACGGACCAAACACAAAACTCATCAACTGCATGCAAAAATATCTTCGTGCTACAAAATCTCCTTCTTGCTGACCTGCAGATTCAACTGCAAAACCAAAAGCTGACAATAACGTCAAACCAAGTCTGCTTCCGGATACCTTTGTCAATCTTCTGACTGTAGCTGTGCTTTCTGCGGCCATTCGTTCTTCACGACCGATTGCTTCTCGATCATCATGAACTTGAAGGATGTTCAAAAGTAGCTTCATTCTCGATGCGTTGAGGGGCTTGGTCCCTAAGTCGACAGGGTTGAAAACAGTGCTCACTGCCTTCACGCTGCATAGGCCGTTTCTGGTAACTTCTTGCAACCAGAGCATTCTCGTTGCTAAGTGCTTGATACGACCAACACCTTGCCGGTGCACAATGCCACGTGCTGCACTGCTGTCTGTGTACGCCTTCATTCGCGCTGCTTTGCCAGAAAGGAACTCTACGGCTTCTCGAATGCCAATTCCTTCTGCGACAGCACGACTCGCCACTGGAAAGTGCCACAGTTTTCTGCGTTCTTGAGTAAGAAAACGCATACTGGCCGTCCAGGAAGATGACTCCTCCTGATACAGATTTCCGGCTGCTCTTGTTGCCGGCCCAGTCGGCGTCAGAAAATACTTCGACCAGGTGACTGCCATTCTCGATGCTCTTCTCGTTCTCATTCTCGGAATCTTGCTCCAAATTCTTGCTTCTTTGCAAGGTTGCCGTTCCAGGTCTCCCTGCTGTGTAGCAAACCGCGTAGCCTGCAGTCTTCTTCAGATACAACGCGCAATGCTCGAGCTCTTTCTGCTTCTTCTGCGTAGGAGCCTTCATTCCAGTTGCCAAATTTCGGACTGCATACTGGATGTCAGGACGATCTTGGGCAAGATATAGCAGTATACCGACACAACTTCGGTACACATTCTTCTTGTTCTCGTCCAGCTCTTTTGTCTCATCGGTGTTCTGCACATTTCCTGCTGCAGGGGTAGCTTTCTCTCTTCTCGATCCAAGGCGTAGCTTTTCAAGGAGCTTGGTGACATACTTGGTGTCAGGGCGGACAAACAACTTTCCGTCTTCATAGCTATACCTTCTCTTGAGAAAACGCACAGACTGCTTGGAAAATCCATTGCGATAATCTTCTTCTGTCAGAAAAGGTCCTTCTACTTGTAGCTTCACCTTCTTCGCTAAAGCTTCGAGGACGGGCTTCACCACTGCTGCTTTTCCTGCTACTTGAAGGTCATCGACATGTACGATGCAAACGGATACGACCTTGCCGTTCTTGATCAAGCGAAACAACGCTGGATTTGCGACGCTTTTCTCATAGCCTTCTTGCTGCAAAAGTTCTGCGCAAAATTCGCTCCACAGAAGACTAGCATCTCTTTGTCCAGGAAGG